ATAATCAAAATTCATTAATTTGACATTCATTGTCATTTAAAGGTTAAGAACATATCTAAATTATTCCACATGTCTGTTTGATCACAAGTGTTGTTATGTCCACATATGAATTAAAATCATACATAATAAAAAAAATATAACAACCAAAATTCAATAATTTGGCCATGATGGTCAAGGTCATTTAAAGGTCAAGGTCAGTTCAACCTTTTAGAAGTTTTTGTCCAAAATTTTGTTTTGCCAAAACATAAAGATAATCTATTTATTAATAACCAAGTTACAGTCAATTATAGCAAAAATCAGTGAAAATGCAATACTCTAACTGTCAAGGTCATACAAGAGCAAAGGTCAATTTGACACATTGATCATATATTGCCCGGTGCCTGACACTTACCTAATCTGTGTAGCAGTTAAGGTAGGCAATTCAAACTATGATCATGCAGGATTATTGCCTATTTTGACATGTATCATTATTACATGTATGTGAATGAAAGATTAATACTACAGTAAGGAAACATCTTATTTATCATATTTTATTTTTGTGGATGATTTTTTTTTGGTTGGTAGTTTACCCTCAGGATCACAACAGGGAGCCACATAGTATTTACTTGGGCACAGTTCAACCACCACATAATTCCTCAGGGTAATCTGTCAAGCCATTTACCAGTGCTAGTTGCCTTCACTTTCTAAAGGTATTGATAACTTCTGTACATGCCAGAGCAGAGGTACAGTGTGAATGACAGTTAACATTGAAAGGATTTCATGATCAATCACAATGAAAGTGACCTCCACCGTCCGGGAAACGAACCTGTATAACTTTGTTGTTGACCCATCATTGAAAATGTATTTATTGAAAATATATAGGACTTTTGCACATTTACATATAACGCCCATTCTCAATAAAATAAAGCATTTGAGGTTGAAAAATATTGAAAATTTGATGTTGTCATTGTGTCATTTTTTATCGCTGAAGTAAAAGTTCAGGGTATTTTGCAAGTTTGCCAGAAATATTTTGAACAAGAAACTATGATATAACAGGATGGCATTTATTTCGGTAATGACACTGTATTTCTTCGGTAACGTAGTTTTCAGATCTAATAATGTAACATATTGGCTGCATATTAATAACAAATGTCTGTAAAATATATCAAAATCTGTAAATTCTCTATCTAGAGGGACTTTCTAACCCAGGAAAATTCAAGGAAGTTGGTTACCTTTCTAATTTCCAGTCAATTTCTTCACAGTTAAACATTCGTAGAAAGCAAAAATAGTCAATTTTGGAAATGATTATTTTATGTCTTCATTTAAAGGATATATATCATTAATAATATATGAGAGGTCGAATGCATACACAAATGTTGTATTAGCAATTTTTTTCAAAACATTCAACTTTCCACTTTCTTAATATTTGGAAAATTTATTGCTAAGCAGTTCTATATTTATCCCCATATAGGATGTCACGTATGTTTCATTTTATTCAAATGCAAGTAAAGGTTGAGAAAACAATTTTATTTTTTGTAAAATAATTTATATTTATGGATATTATTCTAACATTATTATATATAGAATGAAATACGGCCAGTAAGCTCTTTGCAGAAACGAATTACCTGTTGCTCAGAACATCAATATCTTGTAATATATTTTTAACATTTTTGCTGGTACATCAACATATTATTAACATATCTTTCCTTTGTAAAAACAATTTTGTATCTTCTTACATCTAATACAAGGTAACCGTTACTAACAGGCATGCTAATCCCAACTTTATCTTTAATTTTAAAAAAATTGTTAAATTGTAAGTTGGAGTAACGTATGTTTCACACTCTCTTATTTATGAACTTTATCACGGAATTGAAACTTACATGTAAAATCGACTTTTTTTTAGGAATCAAATGAACATCATTCTATTGTCATAAAAATGCGTTTTTATGTTTTTATATATGCATGTGTAAACAATATCAAGTCTGTTTGATAAAAGTAACGTTTGTTTCACTGTGGTTACTTAAACAAGTTAAAACTCGACCAAAGTTAAAAAAAATTATTTACTAATGTCAAATAGAAGTTAATGTTGCTGTTATACTTGCTTTCTGACTTCAATTTCCCTTTTAGTAAACTTACTTTAAAAAGTTGATAACGTATGTTTCAGTAACGTATGTTTCATTTTTATATTGAAAGTGGGTTAAAAAATTACGCAAGACCGTTTAACCCGCCATAATTTGTGGTTAATATATCAGAGTTACACACATGTTAATTTTCTTTCTTGTTTGGATTCTTCTTTGAATGGATTGGCTCTTAAATAATGGTAACATATGTTTCTTTTTAAAATGCTGTTGAAAAGATTTGAATAAAAAATGAAAATTTCCGAAAACAGAATGATATTTGAGAGGCTGCAAGCTTATTTTTACTTATAATTATATATATGCTGTATTATTAAGCATGCATCGATTCAATTATGTAATTTCGGTTTCACTTCTTATTGCTTTAGGTTTGTCACTATTTATTTATATGCATTTGGCGGCATTTGATCATCCATTATATCAATGAGATTTTAACAGTCAAATAAAATTTTTACCAATAATCAAAGTTCATATACACACAGCAATGACTTATTGCACATGTTTCAATTATTCTGGAACTTATTTTTCTGAAACACAAATTCAAAGTTGAAAATTCTAGGTGGCGACAGTAACGTATGTTACATTTTAGGGCATTAATGGTTCTTGTAAAAGAAAAATAACAGATAGAAATGTAAAACTGAGAGTGTCCCTATTAGACAAAGTGACAGCCACCTTTCTAACGACATTTTGACCTCAAGAAAAACCTTCGTATAAGAGCTACCCAGTGGAACATCAAATGCTGTGTTTAATTGAGAATGAGCGATATAGAATGTATTTTAAGAAGCCTCAAAAACTATACTGTATAAAGCATATTGTTCACAGCTTCAAGCAGTTTGGTGCATTTCTATAATGTTCCACATTGTAGTAACCCCAGTATGACAAATGATATTTTGTTTGCTATTTAACCATATATCAATCATTAGTGAAATCTATTCTGAAATAAGGTTTTCAGTGTATTTAGACCTAATAAAATATAATATTTAGTAGTAGTAAACCTAATTTGACAATTGAATTTAGCATAACTATACCTAATGGATATTTCATTCTAACAATGTAGTTTTTTTTCTGTTACGCCGGGTTAACGGTGTGGCTTCATGATTTGCCCAGTACAATAAGTCCATATTACGCAAAAGTGTCAAATAAAGACTAAACAGTTAAAAGGCATACTCCTGCTGCGTTAAAGTTACCAGTAACAAAAATGCAGTGTCAAGGTATTGTGGTTGAATCTTTAATGTATTGCTATGACTTATGGGGCAGTATGTAAGACTTGGATCCCTCCAAACGACCACACAAGCAACAATCTAGTCAAAGTCTCAACTAATCAGCTAATTGTACTGACTGCTAGTTAAGATATTTTGCTATTTAATGTATGTGTCGTATCTGTCCTCTTAATTACGAGATTTTGACCCAGAACAAAAATATCTGAGAATCTAGCCTTGACAAACTAATTCAACACCAGTAATGACAGTGTTAAAAGTAAAGGAGATCTATGTTATATAAGGACATAAATTTAGTTAAATTTTGATGGTCATATGTACTTTTGAAGTAAGTAAAACATTGCCCATTATTTTGATGTCTCTTGGACAAGTCTAATCAGTTGGACTATGACAGGCAACCAGGAAAGCTTGAAAGACTTCATATGACCTGTGCAGCCTGACCGGGACCTTTGAAATACCGTTCCGCGGCTCTACCGACTGAGCTACACATCTCTTCCCCTAAATAGTGAAAAGTTTTGAACCGTGACATACTCCCCTGCTATAATGAAATTCGTCCTTGAATTTCACAGAGTTACAGAGCAATGTAAATTAAACTCCAAGCTATATCAGTCATGGTTCCCCTTCAGGCGCCAACCTTCGGAATACCTTTCGTCGGAATACTCTATTGACTGAGCTATCCGGTGGCTTACACATCTTCTCCCCTAAACAGTGAACAATTCTGAACCATGACAACCAAATTAAGAAGTGTCGCTGTTGGGATTATTGTGAATGTCATCCCTTGTACATATTGTCAACTCCTGTACATATACTTCCTGTAGGCCCCCTGTGTATCATGAGGTACTCTCAATATACCCAACACTCTCGAAAACTGATTTATGGTACCTAGAACTACTTTTTTCAGGTACATGTTAATCATACTAACAGACCCCCAGATTTTTGCCTTGCTGTTTTCTTTTTAATTATAGTTTTATCAAATATACATAGTTGTATGTTTATGTAAACTATTTTACACAATCAATTTTTGATGAGTTTAATTCTTGGGGGTTGTTCAGTGTTTCTGGGTACCTTTTACATCTATAGGTGTATACTGTCTAGTATGCTAAATGATACCCATGGGGGCCTACAAGTAGTACCCAGGATGACAATAACCCCAACAGCAGTATTGTCGTGTTCTTTAAAAAAAAATGATTACTAGTGATTATTTTAAGAGAGGAACTTTAAAATTAGGTATTTCTTTCAGAGTGACCAATACTGAAATAAATTCAATTTATCTTTTTCTTTTCTACTGGCAGATAGTGGTGATTTTGTGGAAATTTGACGAGTTAGTGCCCTACAATGTAAAGGATTCAGGGGAAAACTTTAATCTTTTGGAAAGGTATGTTTTGAAATAGTAAAGGGATGAAGATATGGTGAACTTTAATTCATTTTATTAAACCAACTGAACACAGAACCAAAGGTCATTTTTTTAGTTTTAGTCTATATCTTGCAAAGTGATTATAGCAATAATTTAAATATTTTTATCTTGTTACAAAATAATTTCATACAAAAGAAAGATAAGATTGTTAAGAATTATTTGCTTACTGTTTGACAAAATACATTTTTTGATAATAAGAAATATACAGCAGTCATTATTGACTTTTATATTTAGATTGATTAATATTTTGTAGCCATGAAGATATGTCTGTCAGAGTTTTTATCGGGGTTAGACTTCCTCAAAGCGAGGAAGAGTGGCGAATTTGTTGGGACAAGGGAGGATAATCCTGCAATGATTCTAGAGGAACAAGTTGCTGCATGGATAAGACTTACTAGTCTAGAAGATCTACAGGTAAAAATGATTAAGATCATGATAAATAAATCTTACTTTTTAACTTCTTATTTACTTTAATGTTTCTGCTGAACTTTTCAATTCTTATCTGTTCTTATTTGCCATCCTCTAAATAGTGTTTCTTCATATAATATTATATGTAAGTGGTTTACTTGTAACTTAAGAATTGCTGGCTGCATGGGTTTAAATGCTGTCAGAGGCAAGCCGTTATTTCTGTGAGCATGAAATTTAACACTCATTGCTTAAGTACTGGTTGGTTCCAGGAACAGATTTGAGAATGTTTCAATGAAATTATAGCTTTCAATATTATCATTTTGATATAAATTTGTATAAACTTAATATACCTAAAAAAAGCAAGTAGAAATAGTTTTTCCAAATAATTTTTTATATTTATTTAAGCTGTTAGATTGTTTTATGTTTTAAGCTTGGAGTTTCTACAATTTTCAACATCAGTGATATGTTATTCTGTAATGTATTGGAGCTAAAATAATTGTTAAACTTTTGTACTTACTTACTTACTTACTTACTGGCGTTCGCTCTACACGATCACGCTAGTATCCGCGATGAAGGTTGTGGTCCGCCGCAGGTCCTCAACGTCTCCGTACAGCTTCTGCTGGAGTGTTGCACCTCGGGGCCACGTTGCTCCTCGCTCCTGGTTGTGTCTTTTGCATCTTTGGAGGATATGCTCTGTAGTCTGGTCCTCTCTCCACAGGGACATATGGGGGGACGGCACCAGTTTGTACTTCCTGCACATGTGTGCATTCAGTCTGTTGTGTCCCGAGCGAAGCCTGACCATCACCATTGTTTCTGGTCGGTTTAGCATGTGGTAGGCACCGCTTCCTGTCTTGTCTTAGGGGTGAGAGCCTTGATGATGGTGGCTTTCTCCTTGTATGTCACCTGGTTATCTGGTTGCTCAACTGGGCTCCTAACCTAGCCAGCTTGTCAGCCTCCTCATTTCCGGGCACTCCACAGTGAGATGGTATCCACTGAAGTGGCAAACATTACAGGACGACCCAAGCTTGTTCACGGCTTGCGCTAGTTCAGGGACATTGTTGTTTTGTAGGGCCTCCGAACTGATCTTGCAATCTGTGAGGAAGACTACAGAGGTGATCTCTTCTGGCGAGTTTTCTATCAAAAAGACTGCCTTCATGAGTGCCTCAGTCTCTGCTCTGTAATTGCTGCAGTGCTTCCCAGTGGTGATGTAATGGGCTGTTTTCTGGCCTGACTATACAAAAAAAAAACTTTTGTACAAAATGTGATTTAAACAATTTAATTTTTTTTTAAATTTTCATGTTTGACATCTATATATTTTTTTTCAGTGTAAATTCAGTCAGTATGTTTTGTTTTTGTTGCATTTTTTTTTTCGTTTGTTGCAGGAATGTTTTAGAGTATTTGAAGAGAAAGTTTGTGTGTCAGATTTTCCAGCAAGATATACTCCACAATTCTGGTTGGCTCATGCTGCATTAACAACTATCTATAATGTGATGATGTAAGATTTAATAACCCTGAACATCCTGAATTTATGTAATGAACTTGCCCAGATTTGAATTTGGAACAGTCAGTTCCGAGCTTAAGGGATTTTGCTGGCAAAATACAAAAAAAAATTGCCACTAACAGTATAGAGCCTGGTTAAAATGTACAATAGTGCTAGCTGCCCTGGTGGTAAAGGATAATCTTTTTAGGTTCCAGCAGGTAATGGGTAAATTAATTTTTTTTCCTATCAGAATACTAGCAGTTATGTTTGCCACCAATAATTAATACATCAGTGATTTTTTTTTCAATTTTCAAAACAACCTGAGGCTTTCTGAAAGGGAAAATATAGCATGATAAATAAGGAAAGGGGGAAATCCTGAAATCAAATTTCAACAACTGAGAATGGAATTTACCCACACATCTTATGAAATTTTAAATTTCTGTTCAGTTTAACATGCATGGTACATAGCAAAGGCTATATACAAGGAAAATTTTCTGTTGTTCAGTCAATAGAATTTATTAACTTCCTGATATAGGTCAGCTGCCTTTTAAGTCATGGTTCTGATGAGGACTGTGCACAGAGCATTTCAGGGTAAAATATAGCATTTTTTTGGCAAATATACCTATATTGACCTAGGGGAAACAGCTTTTATCTGGTTGTAAAATGTAGGGAAAATAATTCATTGAATATACATCTGAAGCTGAGCAGTCTGGTCATATACAAAACATATTCTTTACTGTTAGCTGCTGGGATTTATATTTGACCTTGATTATCATGAAATTTATTTCAAATTTGACTTGTTGAAAGCAGCGTAAAAACCAGACACACCAACAAAAAAGGCTTTGAAATCACAATGATTTATTTTATACTTGTCTTGAAAAATCAAGAAATTATTTCATAACCTAAATAATCTACAAAACCAAATAGCATTTTGTTAATGAAAGTTATTTAATGAAATGGCCTATTCCAGACTTAGTAACCAAATGTTGTTCTGTTATGTGTCTTTTTGTTTTTTTGGGGGGCTTTTTTTTTTAATGGGTATATTTTAAGCCTTTTGTTATCAGGAATTGTGTTCACATCTTGCCATTACCATTATAACTGTAAACCATATGAGCTGGCTTAATTTTGCAGTCTGATCAGCCTTTACTGTTTGCTTTTCCATTTGAAACTTTGAAAACTTTTTCTCAAACTTTGACATTGACATTGCTGTCATATTTCCCTTACTTAGTTTCTTACATACATAGACAAATGTTTGTTTACAATTCCCATGTTTTAATCTTTAACCTGCTCTGAAAATCAAAAGTGAAAAGCCTTTGCCACCAGTGTAGAGCCTGGCCAGCCTCCACATCCATGTAATCTGACCAAGCTTTACCATACATAATGTAAAGGCTACTTTTTAGGACACTTTTCATTTGGGAGAGTGGGTAAGGTGGATGAGTCCTTGAGATCAGCAAGCAAATTGTTTCTAAAATTTACATATTGGCATACAGCGTAGATAACTGGAAACTGATTACCTTTTAGTTTTCATTTTGATAGTGAACAGTCTGAAAACGTAGGCTAGGCAAGGACCTCCGTTTTAGGAATTCAGCAGGTTAAGGCTTTAATATCATAGTATTGTGACTATGTGATGAGAGATGTACACTTTTTATATAGATCTCAGAGCAACTTTTCTAGCATAACTTATCATAAAAAATATCTTGGTTTTGAAGTGGCTATTTGGAAACTCATGATGATGCTGAACTAAAGAAGGAAACAGACAAATTGTTGTTTGACCTTTGGGTTCACCTATTGGCATGTGGTCCGGGGTCCACTCATTTAGAAATGATGGATATTGTATTAAAATATCCTCATTATCCACTCTGGAAATATATGCAGGTAAGGTGTAATGCTGGATATTGCTTAATTTTTTTTTCAAAGTTCTGAACTTTCTTTTTTCTTTTTACCACTTTCTTTTATCCTGCGATAATAAAGCATAATATATTTAATTATACTTTTTTGCAATGTTACTTTTAAGTTAAGTCACTTTTAAGTTAAGTATTTATTTTCGTAATGGAAATGCAAAATAATATGCAAATACTGCATCCTAATGAAAATGAAAAGAACAATGTGTTTGTTGATAATTATAATCTTTTGGTATAATAATGATATACATTCTTAAAAAAATTGGTAGTTATGAGTTTTAAATGAATCTAATGTCAAATCTTACAGTATTTTCTATGTAGACAAAATTGATTTAGATTGATTGATTGATTAGGTTTTACATCACACCGACACAGTATAGGTCATATCGCGACGTTCCAGCTTTACTGGTGGAGGAAGACCTCAGGTGCCATTCCATGCATTATTTCAGGCACAAACGGGTACCTGAGTAGATCCACTGATGTTGAGACTGTAAGGTAGCTAGATTGAAAATTGATGTAGATCTGATCATGAAATATTCTATTTTTAGACACTTCATGGAGAAGATCTACGTTTATTGGTGTCATCATTAAGGACAGACTTTGTTTACAAGGAGGAAGTGTCTGCTGATCACTATGCTACTCTCATGGAAACACATATCGACAAAGTTTTCAAAACTATATTAAGGTATGGTGTTTATTTCACCCATATCCCCCAGACTTTGTTTAATCGACCTGCCCTGCATTCATATAGAACACTTCATTAGTTGTATAACTCTTAACTTGCGGTCAATTTTTGTCTTGGAATTGCCATGCTTTGAATTTGCAGGAGTGAAATAATTCATTCCAAATTGAGCTTCAGACAATATAGTGCCTGGGCAGACTGCATGGATGTGTAGTTTGGCTTGGTTCTGTACTTGTGACAATGGCTTATCACTTATAGTTCCAGTAGGTTTATATTTAAAAAACTGGGATGTCAATATCAAAATACTATGATTAAGTATACAAAGTGAGCTAGGTTGAGTATGAGAAGTTGAGGCTAGAAATTTCCGTTGCTGTTTTAATGATTCATTTGTATACTTAGTTAAATAAGACTATATAAAAACTTTAAATATGAAATGACATTTTATATATGTTCTAAAGACTTTTTTAAAATGGCTTTTCCTGATCATAGTTATATTTTTGTTTTCATATTATGTATGAAGCCATTTAAACAAGTAATGAAATGTTAGCATAAATAGAAATTTTGAGATTTTTTTCTAACTCGATATAATGTATATTTTTAGCGCAGGACAGATTGAGGAGGCCAGAAGGGAGCTTTTAGATTTATATTCATTCTACATGTATAGAATGAATCATGTCCCACCCCATATTGGGCCTCGACTTTCCCATCTATGTTTCCTAATATGTCAAAAGTATGAGCTGGAAAACCCTTATATGGTAAAAATACTTTTTATTCATTCATTGCTATTTTCAAAAACTGTTGAATTCCATCAGGGCAATAGTTTATTTGCACATAAAGTTGTTTTAATTATATTGCAGAGGGCCATTTTGGAATAGCATTTTAATTTACAAATTTATAATAAAGTGAACCAATTTGATTCCTGTTCAAATAGCCTCTGATTTTCATCTTGACATCTGCATGTGCGAAATAACATTCCTACTTGAGCCTTAGCATATTTTATTATTTAAATAATGAAATCTTTAAATTTAATGTGTATAAATATTTCAAATTTTTATAGCTCACACAGAATTGTGTAACCAAAAAGATGGACCACAAATTTTATCAAAAGCGAAATTTGTAATAGTCTTTTGTTACAGTGTTAAAGAAATGTACTGATTGTTGTAAGAAATATATGTGTTTGTATGTGTGTTGTCATATGTGTAAAATGTATTTTTCAGGGCCGGGATGACTGGGTTATAATGCGGAATCATCTGAAAGTGATAAAGGATGTTATTACAGACTCCTCATTTACTGTAGCTAGTGAGGCCCAGTACAGAGCTCCTCTGACACTTGAAAAAATCTTCCAAGCGGCTGTGTAATTATCATTTCACTTGAACAAATTCATGTTGTTTTTTTTTGCTCTATGTTTATGGATATTAAATCAATTTTTTTACATCTTTAATTTATTTAACTGACTGAAAAGTAAATACAAAATAAGTTAGTATTCCAAATAATTTGTTTTTCATGCATTGATTGTAATTCAGTTATCCACTCAATGACCCTTAACATAAAATGCATATACCGCCAGTTTAGACTCAGACTGGGCTGCACATTTTAGCAGAACAATCACAGTACTGTTCACTTCTTAACTTTAATTTACTAAAATTAACTCTAAAATAGCCTGCTGGCAACAACAACAGGTTCTACCCATGCAACCAGTGTTGACCAAGATTACCTAGAACATCATTGTTTGCACTACTGTTCACTAATCAGTCAGTTCTTATTTTAATATTTTCCCTAAAATTGATGAATGGTTTTATCCAAGGAGAAAGATGGGCAAGTCCATTTAAAATTTTTACTGAGATGAATGTTAAAATCTTTGATACTGCAAATTGACAGTTCCTATAGTAGGCAACACTATGCAAGTCTGTGATATAAATTTAGGAACTCTCTTGTAAAAGAGACAGAACTTTCAGTATTAAAGGATATTTTTTGTTTTGTTTCAGTAAGGATAAAATGCTCAATATCATGTTCAAAGACTTCATGTCACTGTTGTTGACAATCTGTAACCATAGCAACAGCAAGAAATGTAAACGTCTATTTTTAGCCTACCAGACAGGACTCTTTGAACAACTAGATTTCAAATACGGATTTGATGTAAGTGAAACCTTATTTTCACATTTTTATTAAGCTGAACCTTTTTTGAGAATAATGGATATGTCCTGCTCAACTTTTCGGGGCAACTTCAGTCTTTTTTTTAAACACAAGTTCAAGGCAACATGAATGTGCTGCTTTTATGCTAGTGTTGTGTTTCCTTTTTTAACAATTAATGTGACACAGGGTGAGAAAAATATGCAGCCTGATGGGGACTTGAACCCAGGACCTTCAGAATACCATATCGCAGCTCTACCGACTGAGCTATCTGGCCGCTTACACATTCTCTCCCCTAAATAGTGAAGCGTTCTGAACAGTGACAGATATTTAATCTTTACCTTGCTATGGTATGTATATCATTTCAGGAAACCCCTACATGGCTGTTTACACAGTGTTTGGATACCCTTGTTTTATTGTCTAAAACATTCAAGATGGAAACTCATATGGATGAGCTTATTATTTCAACACAAAATCTGGCTCTTATCAAGTTTACTCAGTTGTAGGTATCATGTTTTAATTGTCAGTTCACATAAAAAATGTATACATGTTGTCCTATAACTGTAAGCAATTATTCATATATTTTGAAAACAGAATTTGGTTTTAGGTGCATTTCCCAGGATAGTTCATGCTTTTGAGTGTAAATGTACAAGTAGTTAAAGCAAGCAGAAAGACTGACATCATTTATGTTAAATATTTATTTGTCATATTCAGAATCTGAATATTCCAGAAGCATATGTTTTCTGTATTATACTACATATTTGGTAGATTTTTGTTTTGTTTTCCTAAGTAAGATAGTGTACCTTGTTAACATTTTTCATTTAGTAAAAATGTTAATTTGTTTTGTGCTTCAGACATGTCATTTAGATTAATCTGCCTCAGATTATTTTGTTAGTTAATTGATATTGATATTGAATCTTATTTATCAAGTTTTGTATCATACTCTCTGGATAAAAAAGGCTTAATTGAATTGCCTATCTTGCCAATATGAACTGTATTAATTAAATCAGGCAAGCTAACATATCTGCACAGCCTGATCAGGCTCTATACTGCTGGCTACTAAATTTTGGCATTTTGATATCAAAAACCTCTCTAATTACCATTTGTAATATCCAGATTTAAAGTTGGACAAGTCCATTACACAAATTAAGCAGACAATGGGTTAATACTCTCGTAAATATTGTTGTTGCAATCAATTTTGTGTTCTTCCATTCAAAACCATGTATGTAAATAAACCATAATTAAAAGTCTTCTTCTCAAAGACATTTATTGTTCAAGTTAGATAAACATGTAGTTAAGGACAGCTGTTTAATAAGTTAATGTTTCTAACTATGTTCTTCCATTAAAAACCATGTATGTGTATATAAATAAACCATAAGAATCTGTTTCTTGAAGGCATTTCTTGTTATTGTTAAAGTCAAATAAACATATAGTTACAGGACAGCTGTTTCAGCAGCCAGCTGGCATGATCTAATGGTGAACTATATAGTCTCAGGAAGAACTCTCCTGGTGAAGGAGGCTAGAAACCTACTGAGCTCTCCTGTATTGAAGGAATATGGTGTCTTGAATTGGAAGGTAAGTGTTTTGGTCGTGAAAAAAAACCCACAAAAAAAACATCCCTGATGTCTTGTGTAGTGGTGCTTTAATCAATTGCACATAAAATAATCAGTTGTTTCTCTAAAATAGAGATATTTCTATATCTCTTGCACTGCTTTCACTAACCCAATACATTGTAAAAAATATAAATAAACGTTTTATTGCCTTTGTGTATATGTAATTGTTCTAAAATTGCCAGTTAATTGAATTATTTACAAGAACTTTATATTGCATTAATAAATCATTATTGATTGATATAACATTTTTCCTATACACATGAAGATAACTATGGAATGATACATGTCCATATATATATAACTTAATAACTGTTAGGTGTGTTGTCTTCATACTCAGTTTTGAGGATAGTATTGACCCTTATAAACGTTTAGGTCCAAGGTCAAGGTCACAAGGATATTTTTGTAAAATCATTGACTGATCAATAAATTTGTTCTAGTTGATTTCTGTGTTTTCTATATTTTCAATTGAGTGCTCTCATCACATTTTAACATTACATTCCCATTTTATGACAACATATTATTTGTGTGTGTGATGCATCTGTATTGTTATTTATAACATATTTGGATGTAAGTAGTTATAAATTCTATTTTAGACTTATGAAGTACAAGGGAGGCTATTTATAGACATTATAACTGATGCACCGGGACAATTCATGCAGGCAGATGAGGAAGGAAACGTGTCAGAAACAATTCAAGCTATTGCTAGATTTATTGACAATTTTCTGGCTCAGATAAGGTATATTATTTTTTTGTTGCTTATTTTTTAACAGTTTTATTTTATTTCATGCCTACTCAATCTGGAATCCTTTTTGTCTATAGGTCTTAGTTGTCAGGAAAGAATGTTTTAACGTTGTAGTTTTTTCCTCACACTGCACTGTGTTATGCTTACATGCTTTAAAAAATATCCAAATATGGTAAAATGGTGGTTATACTCGAATGTTTGCTGAGTGTCTCGTCTGATATATGATGCTTAAAGGCCACTGTTTGAAATATCTTAAATAGTAATCATGACCAAACAACTAAATAACATTCGTTTTTATAAGAAAAATAAGGTACAAGCATGAATTTATTGTTATTGCTTATGTTGAAATGATGTTATTAATTTTAGTGAAAACATTAATGAAAATAAGGAGAAAAGTAAAAATTGTTTAAGAAAATGGAGAATACATTGTAGTAAATAAAGTTTACATCATTTTTTTTAGAGTAGCTCTGTTTATTGTCCTGATAACAAATTAGGGATTTACTATCTACAAGTTTTTTTCTTCATTCTTTCAACAGAGATCTTGAGATAGAGGGGCGTGTCAGGCAAAATGTACATAAATGTTTACTTAAATGTATGGAGAAAGAACCCCCATTGAAATCCCCAATATCTCTGGCATGTATACAGTCAGGTATTCCAGATTTTACAGTAAGTTTTTGCTTTAATTTACGTATTTTCTATCTGTGTACTGTATGGTAGTGATTTATTTAAGAAATTGCCACTAGGAATTCACAATCTTTTTAAGAAATAATGTAAAGAGGGCTCAGAGCATTTGTTGGTCATTTTCTTAGTCACAATTTCAATGATTAACCAGTAATGTTGTAAGGGGTATTTTAAGAGAAAGGATTATTTTAAGGAACAGACAGCATAACCACAGGGTCATAATGCCTATTTTAGGTAAAATTTTACAAGCTTGTAGCTTTAACACATTTTTACCATGCAGTTGATGAAATTTTAGGACATGGTTTATTTGATACTTTTGGTTGACAGCTGCAAAAAAAAAAACAATGTCAGGCCTGCCACCATGCAGTCTGACAAGACTGTGTATCTAATAGTAACTTGGTTTAATATTAAAATCTCTCAAATTGAAAATGAGCTGTTCAAAATTCAGGATAAGTCCATTTTCAAATTAAACATATTTAGGATTAAATCTATGATGAGATTTAACAGTAGTTTATGATATAATCTTATATAGTAAGTATTTCTATATTTTTGACAATAAAATTTAAAGTGACATTTATAATGCTCATTTTTTTTTATTGTAAAGTTGAGCAGAATTGACTGTTTATTGATTGTATGGTAATCGACCAACTGTTGATAAAGACAAATGTTTATGATAAAATATAAACCCTTTTTATAAATGGAACATTACAGGTAAATTCTTATGTATATTTACAGAAAATTTCCTTGAGTCATGCGAGATATTTATTATTCATACAAAGTAAATCGTTAAATTGAATGGAATCATAGCAAAATGTACACATATTCCAACTTTTAGTAGTTCACTCACTATTATCCCTTGAATGGGCATAATGTCCCTTTAATTTTTATGAATAGCACATTATTACTTTTTTATATAGGATGTTAACTTCATCAAGGATGGGTTATTCAGTGTGGATACATTATTGAAAGATGCCAGATGTCCTGGTGATAATGAAACATTGTCACAAGTTGTATTACATCTTCTACAAGAGAGCCTGCATTTATACAAGTATGATTTTTTTTTACATCAGAAAATACCTATAATAGATCTCCTACCTTTATAGGGTTTGTGGCTTATGATTTTACTTATAGAGATTTAATAGTTCGGGTAAGGATGTTGCACAGCCAATGGTTTTCAAAAGTTGTTCTTTAAAGATGCTTTGTATATCAGGCTTACATTATTTATATATTATTTCAGGTCAAATTGTACCACACTGCATTGTATAAGTTTTAAAATCATAATCTCACCTAGATTCAGTAATATAAGAAATAATGGAAAACATTATGGCTGCATAATCTTGAGTACATGTGACCTGTGTCTATGTTGAAGTTGACTGTTTGGGTCACCTCTTTTATCGGCTTTAAAGGTAGCAATACAGCAATTTTATATTAATTTTATACATAAGTTTAAGTTTTATATTTGCTAGCGTGCTAGCCTACAGAAGGTTGCTAGTTTTAACCTAAGGTGCCAGCTTATGTATGAAATGATGCCTGGAAGTCTTAGGTATTCTTTCAGCAGTAAAGCTGGATTTTTACTGTATGACCTTAATACTTACATTTTTAACTCTTCACCATGACACTATGATATACATGCATTAAGTTTTAAATGTTATCTTTGAAATAGGTCTAAAGGCTATGTACCTGTGGATGTGAACAGCTTGCTGATGACTATTTGTATTTCCTGTTTGTCAGCAGACGACACTAATCAGGATGACAGTGGTCATGTGACTACATCATGTGACATGTGGAATACCTTATATGAGAAAGTGGTCTTAGAATTCATTGAAATGGTAATTTTAGATAATTTAAACATTAGTCTACTAGTATTTAAGCTGAAAAAAATCATGTAAAATCAGTAAACAAATTACATGAAATTATTTGCCTTCAATTTAAGATATTATCAGTTTTGTAAGACAGAATAACTTGATAAAATGTGAATGAAAAATGTTTTGAATATAATTCGGAAATATTTTGTTTTAATAACATGAAATTTTCAGTGTTTAGCAAATAGCTCACAAATTTGACAACAAAAATCACCTTTTCTACAAATGTTATGATAAGTTTATTCTTACCAACATTTGGAAAAAAAGAGTAACTACATTTCAACCTGAAATATTGGCTATACAATGGGCCAAGAAAGCACCTTTATTTGTTAACATTTACAATTTTTACAGCACCTGGATAAGGGATCCATTAGATCAATTACATCACTGGTTCCTCAAGTAATACTAGCCATACAAGAGTCAATACAGAGGCTGAGAGGCAGCCCTGTCAGATGTGTGGACTTCTTGTCTATGCTAGGAACCAAATGTTTCCAGTTGGTCAGTGATCACTTGACTGAATTATTGGAACTTTTCCTGGACTGGCAATGCCATGGCTTGAGTGGTAAGTACATCTACTTATTTTGATGCTACATGACTAAAATCTTTACAATATTAAAAGAAAAGAACACAGACCTAAGTCACTGGTATAGATCCAAACCAACCTTGTGTATAACCAGACTTAACTTGAAAAAGTAAAGACAGCAAATATATTTTTAATATAAAAGATATAGATGTTTACCAAATATTTACATGTGTATATCAGTATGTATCCGTCTGCAAAGAAATGCCATTTTTTGGAACATAGGCAAAGCATGTGAAAGAAATTTCAGAGTCCATGTCAGGATTCAAACTTGCATCAGTGGGGTCAACTGATTTAATGTAAGCAACGTTAATCACTCTGCAATGGAAGGAGTCAGTAATAATTTTTAGATATACTTTATTACAATTGATACATTTTCATGTCAGTAACAGAATTTTATTTCTAATCCAGACTTCCATGTTAAGGCATTTCATCAGGATCCAGGACCATATATCCCCATGTTTCAGGATATATTTAGTAAAACATTGTCAATGGAACATGAAGATAAACATCATGGCATGACCATTCTGGAGGCAATATCAGAGGATAATTCTCAGGTTATATTGTATATGTATAACTTTCTTAGTGCTAAGCACATCATTTAAATAAAGACCACAACTATATTTAAAATTTCTTTCTCATTTAGTTACCAGTCATCTACTGATCCAACACCAGTTCTGGTTAGACCCTGGAAATAATGCTTATTATTTGTTTTATATTTCAACACTGGAAATAATTTTGACATATTCTATTAACAAATATTCTCTACCAAGAGAACTTATATTCTGTCTTCTCTAAATTTAATTACAAATTAATGCCCTCATATTTCCTGTTTAACATGATCACTTTTAATTATTTAAATAAAAAAAAATTGACCACAATTTCAAGCACCAATTAAAAATTCTAACAATTGTAATTTTTATCTTGATCTCTCTAATGCAGAAAGGCAACAATTATCTGATTTTTACATTTTCAAGACATGTGTAAGACAAGTAGTTAGAAAAACTAGCTTTTGAATAAAAAAAATCATTAATGTCACATTTTTTTTGGTCAAACCATGCATTGATTGTTTAGTAGCTAGGCATGATGTCTTTTTTTACAGGTGACTTATGCCCTAATTTTTACTTTTCAGTTGTTTCTGTCGACCCACATTTGTCAGTTGCTAGGCATCTATCCCTTGGAGACCAAGGTCACTCAGTGCCATATATTAAATGTTGTGCACAATGTAGTTAAAAGGTCACCAGGTCAGGTTGCCGGTTATTTCACAGTGTTGATTGATGATAGCAAATTTACCACAGATTCCCTTCAACAAAGATCTTCTATACTGCAATATCTATGTCAATATAATGATGTAAGTGTTTTAATTTGTTTAGAGATAAACAGTAATAATTCATATCAGCAAGTATTGCTGTAAATAAATATCATACACCTTTATATATAGAAGTAACTTTAGATTCTCTCTAAAATTATTAGTTATAAAGATTTTTGACTGGTTATATGGCCCTATATAAATGGTCTGTATGGAAGCTAGGAATATTTATAACAAATTTGTAATACTGCAAACTTTGTTGTTGTTTTTTAATTGTGAGATAGATTTCTTCATAAGTTGACAGCAGCCGTGTATATAAAACTATATAAATGTCATGATTGTCCAATGAAAAGCGACATTACAAACATGCAGTATTACAATGCTCAAAATATTCCTTATTAAACGTTAACTTTGCTGTCAAGATTGTAAATTTATGTATATATGTGCTTAATGTTAAAATAAGAGGCATTTGTACTATGACAACCATAACTGTGATATAATGGATATGAGGAATTTGATTTTAATGAAATTGTTTCAAATGTTCCTAAATCTTAAGTGTTTAGGCACTTTAAAATTGATGCCAATACTTAATTACTTTCAACCAGTACACTCTGACATGTTTCTTTTTATATAAATACAGATTTATCTTAAAGCAAGGTCATTTTAAGTAACACTTAAAACAGCATTTTACTGTTTAGCTGCATTAATGATATCCCTTCTTTTGTGAACTTTATTGAAATTTTATAACACAATTGTACAGGACCATTTACAGAAGACGTTGGATTATCTGATGAAGCATGCAGATAGCAGGTCAGAATCTGTGTCACTGGTTGCCATGGAGATACTTATACCTCTTATTAGAGATAAACCAGGTCACATTCACAGACAGAAAGTACGGTTCAAAAATATTTGGAAATCTTCGAAAAATGAGAGAATTAAACAACTTTGTGTGCAAGTTTTACCTGAAATAAAAGCTACTGTGTAAGTTTTATTAATTTTTAACCAATTTCTTATTTTATTGATAAAAATGTTTTTGGTGTCAGTTAAATAACGTGACTGCTCAGCATTTTTACACACATGATTAAGTGCACAGTTATATATTTATTTTACAACCAGTATGTTTTATGTAGGACTTCTCAAGCAGAATTTGAGTAAAATTATAGTTTGGAAGACAGTGCAAGACAGAAGTTCTCCTTTCTAGATGTTTCAACTGCTTCTAAAATTTTGAAATTTAAAGCATCTTTAGGAGTCATTAAACGATTTCTAGTCTAATGGAGAATTCTTATGACCAAACCTTCCAACCCTTGAGTTTGAAGTATATTTGTGTAAACACTGGACAGTATCTCAATTCTAATACTTTTTCTAGAAAAGAAAGAAATGATTTCATTTTGGCTCTCTGTGGCTGAGAACTGAAGGTTGACGATTTTGAATCACTTGCCTCTCATCATTGTTTGTTGAATACTGTTAGGGACTATGGAAACTTTTATGCCTAGAAGCTGTCCAGCTAGCTTACTCAAGGCTGGTGGTTTTACTTGTGTGCATGGTCATGCCTGAACTAATCTATAGAGAAACACCAAAGGTCTTCCTCCACCAGTAATAACAACATTTTACTTTAACAGTGTCAGTGGGAAACCCAGCAAGAATGGTTGAATGGTTTAATATGGTTGTATTCATGATCTTTAAAATGTATTTGTATATAATATAAATAATTTTATCATAAATTGCTATAAATTTTCTGTGGTAAAGTAAAAGATACTACTTTCATGAAATTTCTAAATAGGAAGAAACCTGCCCAAACAACAGCAGTAAAGGAGACAGGCAAGAAAGTGGTCCCGCCAATAAATAGTAATACAAAATTCCCTAGCAAGTTGCAAGCCAGGCCACAAACATCTGATAGAAAGCCTACACCTCCAGTTGCTATGGCAACAAGATCAGATTCTAGCTCATCTATAGTCAAACATAATCCTAGAACTAGTCATGCAGAGGTGCTTAATACATCGATAACTTTGTCAAAAGAGGATCAAAGTACTGTAAGTAATACCACTCGAAAGAGTGAAACTGATACAGCTACTGAACCTATGAAAACTGATTCTAAAGGTGCTGGTGATAAGGTGCTTAGTGTGACACAGGGTGATGATATAAACAAGAAGCAGGGAAATGAACCCCAAAATGCAAAAATGGAAAAGGATATAAAAAGAGAACAAAATGAAGCAATAAGTATTGATCAAACAGATAAAACTAATGTGTCTGATACTGATAACGTTGATAAGTCAAAACTGGAACATTTGAAATCTGAAGGAAATATGCCAGAAGATACTGTACCTGAGAAGGACAATTTATCTGCATTATATATTGATAGTGGCAGAAAAAGTAAAGATTTAAATGTTAAGGTTGATGAGACTAATGTAAGAGAGTCTTTGGAATCATATGAAGAGAATGTAGTTGATGTGTTAAGGAGTCAGGTAACAAATGTTGAGCCAGATGTCTGCTTATGTAGTAGTGTGAAGACTAAGCATTTAATGGAGAGATTTGGGGTAAAGCTGAGGAACGCAGGGTACAATAACATTGTAAAGGATGTTGATGCGAAGGGTGATGGCAATACATTTACAGGTGCTAAAGTTGTAATGGTCTGTCTTGACAACATTCAAGAATCTACTGAAGATATTAAGCTTATAAATGAGGTATTTACAAACACATATTGACAATTAAATATGTACATGTTGTGGCTGGGAAAATGTTTTGTTTTAAAGATACCAGTTAATTATTACATAGGCATAAACACAAGTGTTTATGATGGATTTAGAAGAGTTAAGTAGATAGAATCAGTGTAAATATTGAACAAATATATTATTATGTTCCAGCAGCTTTCTTGTTCTCTTTGCCTTTACCACGTTATAATTATAAATTTTGATAATTCTTATACTCTGTAAAGATACAACCTTTTAACAAGTTTAAAACTAGACTAAGATTTAACAAAGTCTTTAGAACAACCAAAAAATTTGCCTCTCAAAGTGTGTTGCCCTGTATAGTTTATACTGTACATATATTTCAGATTTCAAGCTTGCTGGACAAGGATATACCATTGATAGTGTTGAAGTTTCAAAATGTCCCATTGTCTGAGAAGTTACATAAAGCAGTGATGACTGACAGAAGTTATATACGTTTGTATTCTAAACCTGGTGAAGATAAAATTGTTGGTACAGACTGGCCCAAGTACAAGTTTTGTGAAGTCTTGATGCAACTTAGTTATCTTGGAGTAACTCCTGATGAGCAGTTGATAACTCAAGGTATATTAAAAAAAATCTTAGTTAACTTTCTTTCATTATGGTATATTATATTTAAGGAGAAAAGTTACAGTATATGGTGTTAAATATGTTTCATGATATGACAATCCAAGTTAGTTATATAATAGTCTTGACGTAAATCAATGGCAAGTTGCTTACGTAACTGCTCCAAGATCTGATTGTCAAATTTTTTCTTTAGCAGTGATAATTTAAAACTCAGTCATGCAGTCTATGTCATCTATCTTGTGGTAGTTCTCAAACTTGAGTTCTAGATAACTTAAACCAATAATTGATGACAGACTATTTATCTCATATGATTTCTGAATCCACAGTGAAAGACATATGACAATTACACTTAATTCAAGGGACAAACCATTGACTCCTGGGATACAAATGCCAGGATACTATCCCTTTCAAAGCTTAACGAACAGACTTTTTTTATGTAATAAGCAGAGAAATTTGGACATATTTGCAAGGAACTTTATAGTTTGTTTTGATTTACCAATCAACAAGAACAAACAAAAACAAACAACAAAAATTTCTTTTTCAGAATTTCAATCATTATGGGGACGAACATGTCAGATTTCTTTGGGACAAAAACATATTGTTGACCAGTCAGTATTACCAGATATATTTATATCTTATCACTGGGGAAAGTTAAAGCAAGTATGTTTCTTTTTTCACATTTGTTGATAATGTTCAACTCAATCTGCCCTGTTATTGTCTACATGAGATGGCCATTTTTCCTTAATAAGATAAAGTTAGTAAGAGCTATCACCTACTTAATTCTTATAAAAACTTCTTTTAATTTGTCAGATAGCTTCCTCGCATGAAAGAATCCATTGTCTCTGAAAAAAATTTAAACTCATATGGATGGTTACAAACATATATTGTGTATTTTTCATAATTTAGCAACTTTAACCAGTCTGTTGCCAAGGAGATTTAGAGGATAAAGAAAATAATTTCGCATATAATTCAAGAAAATTGTTAACTTTTAAATGAGCGGATCTCTGATCAAAATATTTTGTGTATTATGGAATTCTTTGAATTTCTATATGTTTCTCTTTTATTTTAATTTTCTATTATACAGATAGAACCACTGTATAAGCGATTGTTGAGGGAGAATTTATCTTGTTGGTTTGGAGCATATCAAATGGGAGGAACAGAATCTTTGTATCACAAAATCCAGCATGGTTTACAGAGCTGTCGTATTGTTTTGGCATGCGTTACAAACAATTACCACCTGTCAAAAGCCTGTGAACGTGATATAAGAACAGCTAAAAAACTGGATAGAATAATAATTCCCTTGTTAATTGGTGATTGTACCTGGCCAGTGCCTGGTAAAGTGGGAAACATCCTGACAGATTGTAAACCAATAAAATTGACAGTTTGGGATGAAGGAATTGTTGACACTAGAACTGACAGTATGTCCAAACTTGTGACATGTTTACAAAAGTACCATACAGAAAGAAAGGGGGCTGATTTTGTTGATGGAGATAATAAATCTGCTGAGATCCTTCAAGAGTTAGAAACTGATCAGTTTGAGGAAAAGTCAGAAATGAACTCTGGTTTTACATATGCAGATATTCGAGTGCAGGGCCAAAGGGCAAAAAGAACTGTGAAGAAAACAAGCTCTGCGTATGATCTTGGGTCACGCTCAGTTGGTAGTAGAAATATGACAAGACGTCATAGCAATATTGATGACCTGAAAATTAAAAGAAGAGATCTTCCTGATGGTGTTCTTGTCGATGAAGATGGTTACACACTCAGATCAACCAGATCTAAATCTTGTATTATACTGTGACAATTTTAATTGCTGATGACTTAAATGTTTTAATGATTATTACCAGAATGTTTCTGTTGTATCTGAAATCAAAGATTAGGGTAGTTGTTCAGAAAAAATATTAAGTTGAATATTATACTAAAACAAGATGTACTGCAATTTTTGACAATAATAGTTTCAATACTATTATATAAGTTTGAAAAAAAATTTAGTTCTGTATTTTCTGTGTGTTTTATTAATTGATGGTTTAAATTTGTTTAATTTCTTGCCAAGAAAAATGTTTACCGGTACAAGTATAATTTGGCAATATCAAAATATTAACACTTTTACTAAATAAAGTAAAATAACTTCTTTATTGCAGCATAGTTTATCATTTTGTATTTGTTAAGTCAAGTGTTTTTTTACTATTGGCAAAATTTTTAATTATTCACAATATTGATAAATTGATTGTTTATTTAACCTTGGAAACAAAGTACAGTAAACTTCACTTATAGCGAACACGGTTATAGCGAACTTCCGGTTATAGGGAACAATTTATTTTGGCCCGAATTTTGCCCTTCTTTGTTTAATATAAAAATATATGGTTATAGCGAACACGGTTATAAGAATTATCGCTTATAAGGAACTCATTTCTTAGTCCCAATTTAGCTTATAGTACAGAAAATAACACTTTTATAACGAACTCCAAAATATTGGCTATCCGTAAATAGATCCCGCATTTTCAAGTTTCGTTATTAAAACTCAGGCGAATGTACCGTTTATCATTGCATGTACTTCAATACATCTATTCAAATGAATCTGTATAGTTTTCTATTAAGGATATTTTTAGCATGAGCTCTTTTCACCAAGATAAAATGGTTATTTATTTATTGTCTTCAATAGTTTTGCTCGAGTAAAATAATGATAATAATTTATAATCGGTTTTCAACATAATCATGCATGCTTGCAAGCATGATCCTTTGCAAACTGCAAAGTACGCTTGATTTTAATGAAAAGAAATATATATCTTACATTAGAAAAAGTCACCCTTAAATTATAATAGAAGATATTCAATATAAAAGGAAGGAAAAATCGAAAATCTTGTCTAAATCATGGAAAGAAAACGAAAAGACTTTAGAAACAAAATATGATATTTTATGTGAAATTGAGAAAGGGAGTAAAACTAAAACTGAAATAGCAATGATTTTCAAATTCCAAAAAGTACGCTCACTGTTATCGTGTCTAAAATATAAATAAATGACTAATATTTCTATTTCTTAATCAAATACTCTTCAAAAACGGCGGACAATAGTAAACAATCAGTTCGTTATATGTAAATCTGTTTGCTATAAAAACTCCTGATACAAGGAACTATTTCGCTATATGCTTACAAGGAACTCCGGATATAAGGAACAGGTTTTGAATGCCCCAGTGAGTTCGTTATAAGCAGAGTTTACAGTAATGTCTTAGTTTCTATGTTTTTTTTTGTTTTTTTTAACTTTTTTATTATTTTTCAATTTTATTGTTTTGCATATAATATTGCTTATAAGCGAATGAGGTTAACAGATGATCATGCATGTAGCTTGTCCGTTGATCAAGTTTCAAATTTTTGTACTTCTTGAGCAACAGATTATTGTGGTAATATAATCTCTTTTGAATGGTTGTTATTTACCAAATTCTTTAATAATTGCCAAAATTTTTACTCTGTTTTGTTCGCACAAATATAGTCAGGCCAGCCTGCACATCCATGCATTTTACATACATGCATTTAGCATACTGCATAGTTTAGAGGTGGTTGAGTTGATAAAGTTGGTTCAAAATAATACATTATAATAAATACATACATATATAATGTTTATACGAGATTTTGACTAGAAGAAAAATCTAATGGAGTTTTTCTCATCCTCCTTTTTGTAATCATATGTATAGTGAACTATCCATGTTAAAATATAACTTATGTGATAAAAAGGCCAAATATGAATATGTAAATAAAGAAAACAAAAACAGGAGAAAAAATGAAGAAAAAAAGTAAAAGAAGAGAAAATTTAATAAGAGGTTCAGTTATTCCTTGTTTAATGTCTTGACAAGTAAGTTGCACTTGTTATATTGCCCTTCAGGTTTGATTATATATTTAAGGCACCTATATGTACTTCACTTTGATACCATTAATTGTATTCATAAAATGATCTATGTTAGAATCTGATATAGTATACACATGTATATGAATATGTTAATATTTCTTTGAATAATTATATTATTTGTTGATTTTCTCTTTACACACTTCTTGTGATTGAAAAAAAAAATGTAAATAATATTTGTTTATTGCTTTGTTGTACTGTATAATTATAAGGTGTTTTTAGGATAAGTTTGACTCCTAAATCTGTGATATTAATAATTTATTTTATTTTAGTATTGATGAATGCATTTATTATTTTTTATATACAATTTTATACATTTGTTCAGGGCTTTTTCAGTTTCATTCTGTGATTTTTATCCGCTTTATCAAATAAAACAGTTTTATGAAATCCAGTGAATTTTGTTCATAACTTACAAACAATGGTTTTGAAGTATTGTAATTTTATATTATGATGCATGTATCTAGAAAGATTGGCTGCTTGTTTATCCAACTTATGCCACTCAAAATTTCTACAGAAATTTGGTTAGAGAAGTGGAGACTAACATGCTACATGTCCAATTTTAAGGTATTGTATTTGCTCTTTTAAGTATTTGATGCCTGATTTGGAAGTCACCAAATAAGCAAGACATGTTTGCCGACTGTATGTTCGTTTTTATCTCAGTGCTAGTTTAATAGTATAATTAAAGCAAAGTAGAAACTTAGGGGCATAATAGCAAAAGTGCTTGGCAGATGAACATACCTTGACAATGTAATTTCAAGTTTTAATTGAATGTCTTTGATGTTGTTTTTTTAGGAAAAACAAAATATTGAAAGCAAGAAAGGGGGCATGACTGAGCTAAAATAAATTATTACATTCTCAAACTGCCTTCTAAAATGTTTTCTAATGTTGATAGTGAAAAAATATTCCCAATAAGAAGGGAATACCTTTGATAAGTTGTGTTTTTGTATACATTGCTTGCAATGTATACAGAGTTATAGCTGTATTTCAGATTTAGTACACCTAACTTGCTTTGCTGAACAACATCCACCTTTGGATGAAACCTCGATAAAAAAGTAGAATCCTCATTTGCAGGATTTGTCACATTTAGATCTACTTTTTATAAATATACTGTTTGCATAGTGGTAAATAAGCTTTGAAAGTTCAAAACTATGCACTTTCAGTTTAAATAAACATTTTCTAAAAACATGAAAGCAAAAAAAATATGAAAATTTCTATTCATTCATAAAAGCATTGTGTAAACCTACCGCTTCAAACTTCGTATCCACGCATGCGCGTGCAAGAATGAATGAATTTCGACAGACTCTGTATAAAAATATGTCCAACATCCAAAATTAATATTAAATCAAACAAGTAAACCTTATTTACTTTTAAATATAGACTTGCATACTTTTTCTATTTCAAAACTGTTTAAAGAAACGAGCATATACAGTTATATATGTCTTATTTAGTGTTATGTAACATTGTAAGCGTCTGTATGAATGGATTAAAGTTTACGTTCTGAAAAAACGTATTGTCATAATAATTGCATATAATAGAACCCTATCAACGTGGTGGCATCGGAGGAGTATGCAATTATTTGTTTCACACCTGCAGTGTGAAGTATTTCTGCCACTTTAGTGAAATATATCGTACCCAAAAGCCATTTTCCGAAGGGGAAGATTCGTACTCAATAGTATTTCGAACTAAGGATTTGTACTCAATATTATTCGAATTTAGCCTTCGTAATCGGTATTATTCGAACTGACAATCATGGCAGATACGTTTTAGACCCCTGGACATTTAGATGTTGAAAATGGTAACATATCACAAAACTTTATCAAATGGAAGCGCCAATGGAAATTTTACTTTACAGTGTTGACTGCCAGTGGAAATGCTGAGAAAGATGAGAAAAGATACAAGTAAATATCCTATTACACTGTACTGGACCTAAAGTTATCAATTTACATGGGCAAAAATGCAGAACATCAACTGAAAAGTGAAAAAAATTATTTGACAAAATAGAAAGCTATTGCAACCCTAGAAAAAATGAAAGTTCTAGAATCACACAGATTTTGGGTAACAAATCCAGATGAATATTCATCATTTGACAGTTTTCTTACAGAGTTTTGAAAGCATGTTGAGTCCAGAAATATATTTTGAAATATGTTATTTACATTCAAATCACTCAGTCAGGCTGAGCCACCCTTAACATTTTTGTCCATAACTCTTTAGACTATTGATATTTAAAAGGTAAAATTATTAGCCATATATGAGGCTTATGATTGCAATGGGCAGTTAAATTAAAGCCATTAGTAAAAAAAAGGGTTTGACCTGGGATAACCAAAGTGAAGAGTGAAATATGACACTCAACACAGGTACATTCTAAATATTTTAGATTGATGTTTATGATCAGAATTTAGCACAAATAGTAATTTAATTTCCCCTGATACCAACAAATATGAATTTATTTAGAGTCCTGAAGAATCTTTTTATGATGAAATCTTAACTGTAAAACCAGGTTTAACTGAATAATTATAAAATTCCTTGCCACAATAACTAGAAAGTACATAAAGCCATTAAAAAAATATTTCTACCCATATTCATCATTCCTGGACCTCCATCCATTTGATGTATTTCTCCAACTGGTAAATTTTTCATCTTATTATGTTCTGTTTGTTAATATAAAAGATTTTTTATGTTTATATACAGCTAGAATAGTCTGTATTGGCTAAGATAGACAGATAAGAACAAACTATTTAGTAAACATTAGTTACATCCCTTCAAATGGAGATAAAGATGAAACCCATAAGAAATTGCCATTTCTGACAGACAGCAAAATTATAAAGTTCTGCAGGCTCAGTTTAATTAGGCCCATTAGGAGGTAGTGGTGATAACTGTAGGTCAAAAATGAAATGATATCATTTTCAAGGGATGTTTCTGATATGATTTACTTTAAATAATGGGTCATTATCAATGAATGTTTCTTCGACTTCTATGCCCATGTGTAATAGATTGACATTGCCAGCTAGATATCTCAGCTGAGTGAGTCAGTACAGCCCACATACATGTATAATATTCTGATTCAGGTTTGATTCCGGTCAAACTGCACATTTTTCTCACCCTGTGATATTTTCACCCTGTTACTTTTAGGGTCCAATATATGTTTATGATGGTACATTACTGAATCATAAGTCAGTTCACTTTGTTACTTAAGTGTGCCAATAAAAAAGGAAAAATTTCAATATGCTGTGGATTATGTCAATGCATAGAACTATGAGACTAAAAATATTTAAGCTGTAGAGCTGCTGTATGGTATTCCAAGGGTTCTGGGTTTTTTGGTAGTGCTGAGGTATGGTATTCTGAGTGTCTCTGGTTTTAGTTTTAGTCAGGCTGCATTTCATTTCCTAACTCTTTGAAATTGATAAATATTTTCAGCTCATTATTGGCCGGACTGCATATATTAATGATTTATTTGTATTAAATCAATATTGTTAAATATTAAGTTATTATCTATATATGTGACTTTATTTTTGATAAGGCATTGTAACAGTACTACTTCTTAAATTGACCTTTTTTGTATTAGGGGGAGAAGCCCTTAATTAACTCCTTACCAGTAAGTTTTATTGTACACGATGATGATAGCTTGAAAGGATTTAGGTAAAAAAGATACTACATGAATCTGTTTTTTTTCCTATTGGATTGTAAAATATTTATTGATTGTCAAAAAACTATATAGAGTTCTCCTCGGTGACATTAAACAGTCCCAGCTGGCCATACATGCAGGACCTTGCAGACCATGAGACAGGGTGGTCTGTACCAAGACAAATCCGATATCGAGACATGGTGGACAGGACAGACAGTGATGATCAGATCCCCCACTCAGAAAGGAAATTACTACACTCAAGGCCCTGGTCTTCAATTACTTCATTTGCTTACTCGGAGTAAAGGTGCCGGAAACAATAGTATGGTATCACAAAAAGCACAGACTGTGATAAAAGTCAAACCAAAAAAGATACTATAAACTGAATTCATAGATTATATAAAAGAAATTTATTAATTCTTTAAGTTTATAGTTAACATAAAAAAAGATACTGAGTATTTAATTTTGATATATAGCATATTAACACACATAAAGTGCATTATAAATTTCAACTTAGTGCTTAAATATTGTCTGATGCACTCAGTAAGCAAACATAATTTACTAATCTTTGGATTTCCACACACCTCTCCACCTAGCTCCAATGAGATCCACTTGGTTGACCATAACACGTACCATACCTCATATTGTTTGTTTACAGTTTGGAATGAAAAAATGAAAGTTTATTCTAGAATCTAGATATTATAAAGCTTTTATTAAATTTCACAAGGCTTTCAACACATCAACAATGTAATTGTTATTTTATTTTTTGAAAATGTGTTGGACTGCTGGTCTGATGCATGTAGATGCTGTGTTGGCATATAGCGATTCCCCTCTTTTGTGTGTGTGTGTGCATGCATGCGTGCATGTGTTTTATACATTATATAGTTAACATCTTTTGAAAACATCTTGTCCAATTTCAACCAAACTTGACAGGGTTGTTCCATGAGTAAAGGGCTTCCAAAGTTGTTCAAAGACTTAAATGAGGCCTAGAGCATAGATATTTTGCAAAAGGCATTGTCTGGTAGACATTCACAATATTTTCACATTATACCCTGGGGGTCAAATTAGCCCTGCACTAGGGTTCATAGATTTTCCTAATATGTATGTAGTTAAAACTTAAAATCTTCTCCTCTGAATTGACAAAGACTAGAGGTTAGATATTTGTCATGAAACATTTGGTATTTAACCTCTACCAAGATTATTCACGTTACAGCCCAATGGTCAAATTTAGCCTCACCCTGGGGTCATATATTAAGGTTTTCCTTATATCTAATAGCAAAAACTTTTTAAAAAATCTTTTTATCAGAAGGTTTAAGGCTTAAAGCTTAGATACTTGGTAAATAATATCATCAGTACGTCCTTTACCAAATTTGTTCAAATGTTGCCCCTAGTGAAATAGCACCAGGGTGTCATAGGTTTTCCTTAAATGTATAAACATATATAGAAAAAAAAAACATAAAAAATATTCTCCTCTGGATTGACAAAGGCTAGATGTTTGATATTTGGCACGAAACCTTTACCTGTGTAGTAAACCTCTATCACTGTTGTTCAAATTATAGCCCTGGGGTCAAAATGGCTCTGCCAAGGAGTCTTTTTAGGTTTTCATTATATGGTATGTATAAAGTAAAAAAACTTTAAAAAATCTTGTCTGAAGGTACAAGGTTTACCAGGCACCATTGTGTATTAGGATTTCCTTAAATGTATATACATGTGTAGAAAAAAAAAACTTAAACAGTATTCTCCTCTGAATTGACAAAGACTAGAGGTAAGATATTTGGCATGAAACATTGTGTAGTCGACCTCTACCAAGATTGTTTTAATTTTAGCCCTGGGATAAAATTTGCCTTGTGGGAGGGTTGGGGGGAGTCATTAATTTTCGCAATGTACTTGTAGTAAAAATTTAAGAATGTACAAGGCTAGAGCTTAGGGCTTTGATGCCTAAATTTAGTCAAGTACAAATGCTTTTATTTTGAATCAATAATTGCACTATGGAGTGCATTTTTCCAGTGAATGCGTTTTGCATGTAAACAAAAATGTTCACCTAACTTTTAAGTCTTGCTGAATGATTCAATACCACATTTCTGTAGACTACAAACCCGCATGTTGTCTTTTTAAAGTAATAGATAAAAGCACTGAAAACTCTATTTTACTATTTCAGCATTGTATACTGCAGATAAAAAACCGGTCTTTGCAAACTGATTTCTGTATTGCTCTTCAGTTTCGCAGCACTAGTCTGTAGGAACAACACCTCTTTCTTGTCCTATTAATAACTTGAGAAGAAATAAGCCTAGATTTGTGTTCGAAATTGACTGTAACCAGAAGATGACTTCTATTGAGTTCAGTAGATTAAAACACATGGTCTTGATGTCAAGCAATGTATACCTCAGTGCTTGCAGTGCTTTGATTTTTAATGAACTTTATCAAAAACTAGTGCAAAAAAACAACACCTCTTAAGTAAAAAAGGTGCATAACTTTGCAAAATATTATATTAACTTAGAAATTAAATGTTCTTCCCTTTCCCATTTGAACTGGTGTAATCATTATAAGTGATCAAGTGTGAAGCAAACAGCGTTGATTGCTTCTTAGAAAGTGGACTTTCATGAAAACATTTACCACTGTTAAGAATTTATCTCACAGTCACAAGTAAAAAAAATATATATATGGTACCAGCTAGGGACTTAAAATACCTTATGTCCCAGATGTAACAAATACAATATGCCTGTACAGTGTCACAAAATGATAATAACATGGAAAAAATCAAAGCACAGAAGGCGCTGAATTTGTTTGGGTCTCAGAATGTAAGAAAGGTGCAGGTTGTGAGATTATATGTTTAGTGCCACCAATGCTTTCCAGCGTTTTAATTGTAGTAAATTGGCTATAAGACTAATTGCAACACTGATATTCAATCCAATGTTTATTTGACTTTAACAATTTAAAAAAATAAGTTACCTTTACTGGGATTTGAACTCCAGACCTCTCGCTTCCTAAGCGAGCCCGAAAACCCTTCAGCCACGGTTAAATTTATATGTGAACGGCCTGAAGAAAACCATATTATTCTAAATTAGGGCTTGTAACGACTTTTAACTGTTGTTTAACACAGATGTAAATAATCCTGAAGCTTACTATAAGCATGTATATTTATAAAGAATCAAAGGGCTTCATGTTCTTTGGTATTTTCTGATCTTTGCAATCTAAATCGTACTGTATATCTGTATGCATTTTCCTGTATAAGTTTATTTTTATGTATTATAATTCATTTTGTAAGGCATAACTAGAGTTGCATCAAAAAAACATTTATGTACTTTTTTTACGACAGCCACACTTTATCCTTGTAAATCATGGCTACTTCCTTAACAAAAACAATTAAAAAAAGAATTTAACCAAAAAAAAATTTCCTTGACTGGGATTCGAACTCGAGACCTCTCACTCACTAAGCGAGCGCGTTACCACTGTACCACGGAGAAGTTATACGCAGTATGTCTGAATAATATCAAGTCATTCTAAATTTAGAACTTCCATTGCATTCAGGTTTGTAATCCTTATTAATTTCGAGGTATTTTGTTCAGGGTAAACCTGTTGTTTAAAATTGAAGTAAATATTTTAGCGAAAATCCTCTCGCCCAAACAGTCCGACATGTAGAATCTATATATTCCAATACTCGGTTTGTGTAGTATTCGGTAATCTACATGGCTAAAAATAGTTTTTCATTGATAAAATCATATTCATCCGCGTAATTTGTGATTGTGCATTTATTGACAATTCTATAAGCCAACGCTATTGTTTAACTTTAAATGCGTTGTAATTTGTTGGATACTTGTAACAAAATAAAATATTTCTTTCTTTTAAATCGCTAGTTTTAAGCTGTTTGAGAACTACTTGTTGTTAGGTTTGTCATAAACTTCTGTGTCAGAGATTGAATGTCCGCTTTGTATTTAGTTATTTTCGATCAGAAAATACCAGAAAAACAATATTAGAAATCTTCGACCATTCGGGAATTACATTGCTTGAAAATTGATGCGCCTGTCTTTGACCATCTTTACGCAGTGATCTCCCCTGAATTTTTCGGCTTTAGTGTACATACAAAAGGGAAGTAACCGCTTCAAAAAAGTGGACTACTTTCGGCATTTGCAATTAAGAACATTAGACTCTGAAATTTCGCTACCATTATTTGTTTGGTCTGACGACCCAAACAAATAAAAACACTGAACACTTGCATCCTTAGACAGAAGATTTTAATGTCAGAGCAGAGACATAGATATTATCTACATCTCTGGTAGAGAAAACTTAATATCATATAGCATTCCAAAATTTTTAAAGACAGATTATGGTTTAAAAAGACAAAGATTTCTGAATTATTACCAAACAATGATACCAAAGAAGCAGAGAAATGACAGTAAACCCAAATATTTACTATGAGTGTTCTATTTAATTAAAGACAATATAAATTAAATTCCTTGGCGGTAACTTTCAATGAGCCGGAATGATACCGTATGTAAACGGCACAATTGCGATACGGAATTTATTATAAGCTATCTGTAAATATTAACCAATGAAGTAGATTGACGGTAATTGAATGCACCAATGAAATAACATGTAATAAAAACACGTTTGGCACAACTCTCAAAATGGATGCTCCCATAATATTTTAACACATTGTTACGTTTGCATTGTTAAAAGTCTTTAACGTTTGAGGTTTAATTTGCGTAAGTGTTTCTTTACAAATACCGTCAAATATTCTAGAAATGACAAACGCAATTACTCAAGTATTCTTTTGGAAACTGTCGTCTTAAATGGAGGTCACATCGAACCCAAAACTTTTCGAACCACACATAAATATCCTCACATTACCTGTTTAAGCTCGACTTTTTTTCGAAGAAAAGAAAGAGGTATTGTTACAGTCACGGCGGCGTTGCCGTTGCCATCCGGAAACTTTTAACCTTGGTAATAACCATACAAGTTGTACGTGAATCATCTTCATACATGTATGGAACAACACTTTGGACGGCTTACAGACACTTCACCCCCCAGACACTTCACCCTAGGCCCTTTTTTGCAGACACTTCACCCCTCAGACAGTTCACCCCTCATTTTAAAAAATTTGATTGAGACACTTCACCCCTCATTTTTTTTTATTTTGTGTTTAACAATTATTTATGTAGACAGGGCTCGACATTAACAGTTGTCCGACTGCCCGGGACAACTAAAAGTTTGGTCCGGGCAAGTTATTTTGAAAAGCACTTGTCCGACAGGGCAAGTGAAAATAAAGAGCATCATTGACAAATGCATGTACAAAATGAATAGAAATAACATCTTTTCATTTATAAACATCTTTAAAACAAAAATACACCATGAATTATTATCAATAATGTGAATATACTACGGTCATGTACATTTGTTGATATAGGAAACGGAAGCAAAAATATGAGCATGCGCCGCGGTAAGGTAATTCTCTGTTCTAATAATAGACTATATCTAATTTTGTACAAGGTAATTCCCGGGTTATGCTGTTGTTTAAATTTTGATGTTTGCATGTAAAGATATCATTGAAAATATGTAGATAATCATATTGATCTTTAAATATAATTGTTAAATAAAGTTTTTGCATTAAAAATGATTTATTGTTTAATCTAATATAACAACATTATGAACTTAGTAAACGAAGACTCGTTTACGGCTGTTGACTTGATGATTGAACTGGGAATTTCCTTACCGCGGCGCATGCTCATATTTTTCCTTCCGTTTCCTATATCAACAAATGTACATGACCGTAGTATATTCACATTGAATAAACAGATGAACCGATGTTTTAGAAAAACTACTAAATACAAAAAATATTTATGAGCTTGTTTGTTTTTCTGATTTATACATTTTTACCATTTTTAGGTCAGGACAAGTAAGTCTTAGGTCACGGGCAAGTAGTTTTAAAAACTACTTGCCCGACAGGACAACCTGATTCAAAAGTTAATGTCTAGGCCTGGTAGACTATGTTAAATACATTCAATAGTGATTGAGTATGTTTATTGTTTTAACCCATTGTCTAATAAATTTTGAGTTGATTTAATTCTTGAAGTTTTGATACTTAAGTTTGTTTTCCGTTTGATCCTTACCATATAATAATCATTGAGTTACGTTCATTTGGTGATGGTTTGTGCTTTAACCTTGTGCTTAATTTACATAACTGGTGCTATTTGTTTGTTTATAAATGTTTTTTTTTTTTTTTTTTTTTTTTTTTTTTTTTTTTTTTTTTTTTTTTTTTTTTTTTTTTTTTTTTTTTTTTTTTTTTTTTTTTTTTTTTTTTTTTTTTTTTTTTTTTTTTTTTTTTTTTTTTTTTTTTTTTTTTTTTTTTAAATTTTTTTTTTTTTTTTTTTTTTTTTTTTTTTTTTTTTTTTTTTTTTTTTTTTTTTTTTTTTTTTTTTTTTTTTTTTTTTTTTTTTTTTTTTTTTTTTTTTTTTTTTTTTTTTTTTTTTTTTTTTTTTTTTTTTTTTTTTTTTTTTTTTTTTTTTTTTTTTTTTTTTTTTTTTTTTTTTTTTTTTTTTTTTTTTTTTTTTTTTTTTTTTTTTTTTTTTTTTTTTTTTTTTTTTTTTTTTTTTTTTTTTTTTTTTTTTTTTTTTTTTTTTTTTTTTTTTTTTTTTTTTTTTTTTTTTTTTTTTTTTTTTTTTTTTTTTTTTTTTTTTTTTTTTTTTTTTTTTTTTTTTTTTTTTTTTTTTTTTTTTTTTTTTTTTTTTTTTTTTTTTTTTTTTTTTTTTTTTTTTTTTTTTTTTTTTTTTTTTTTTTTTTTTTTTTTTTTTTTTTTTTTTTTTTTTTTTTTTTTTTTTTTTTTTTTTTTTTTTTTTTTTTTTTTTTTTTTTTTTTTTTTTTTTTTTTTTTTTTTTTTTTTTTTTTTTTTTTTTTTTTTTTTTTTTTTTTTTTTTTTTTTTTTTTTTAAACATTAAAACGCCTTAAAAAATCCAAATAAAAAAAATAAAAAAAAAAAGGGGGGGGCATATTTGGGGTCCAAGTGCCCCAGACATGTACTGATCATATATAAAAAACTTTATATAAGCCGTTTTGATCAATATATACAAAAAAAAAAAATTCATAATTCAACATCTATAATAATACACAAGATAAAAATGTTCGCCGGAAAAAATCCGCCACCCCTACCGTCATAATCACCATGTATTTTATTCCATTTCCAATATTTTCACATAATCCTTTGGTCCATCGATACAGAAGATATAATTCTTCACGATGATGGTCAATTTTAAACTTCAACGGTAATATAAACAACGCAACAGCCGAAATAAACATCAATATTTTGCTGTGTGCAAAATGCGCAGCGCTTTTAAGTTTGGGAACCACATAATCGGATAGCTTCGTTCATAGCCGTCTGGTCCATTGAATTTATCGAAAGATTTTGTAGTTGGAGGAAAACGGCGATAATATTGATGTTTATTTCGGCTGTTGCGTTGTTTATATTACCGTTGAAGTTTAAAATTGACCATCATCGTGAAGAATTATATCTTCTGTGTCGATGGACCAAAGGATTATGTGAAAATATTGGAAATGGAATAAAATACATGGTGATTATGACGGTAGGGGTACGGATTTTTTCCGGCGAACATTTTTATCTTGTGTATTATTATAGATGTTGAAATATGAATTTTTTTTCAAAACGGCTTATATTAAGTTTTTTTGATATATCTGATCAGTACATGTGCTGGGATTGACAAATATGCATTTTATTTGGATTTTAAAGGCGTTTTGAGCTCCAAACCCCAAGTGTCTGTGAATACCTCCAGATATACAGGACTAAACCTGACCTTCATTCATAGATGACCTTGACCTTAAAGGTCAAAAGTTTGCTTGATTTTTGTTATTATTGGCTATAACTTTGTTATTTTTTTAAAGGAATTATCTTCATATGTGAACACAACAATCTTTTAATATGAAATTAGGCAAAGCCTATGAACGGGGAAGTCGTTAAAGAAATCCTTTCATTCTTTCCGTTTTAAAGGTGTCATTCGATATTACATACACCGCTTCCGTTTTCACTCGGAACACTCGACGATTATTACTAATCCGAAAAGTTGAGATTTGTTCCGTTATCGGAATACCCCGCCTATTATCATTGACATACATTGTAAATGGCGGCGCCCGACTAGAACTGACACTGAAAATTTCATTGATAGGTATAGAATTCTATATATTTTTTAATTGTTTTTTATTTGATTTTCTTTTAAATATTCACGTGTAGTCTATAGCCGGGCAAGCCAAAGCCCGAACCCGCTTCGCGGGCCCGGTCTTTGACTTCCCCGTATGATAGGCCTCCAAGTTTACCAGTCAGACCTTGACCTTCACTCATAAATGACCTTGACCTTGAAGGTCAGATTATTGAAATTTTCTTTTTTTTTTGCTGTTACTGGCTCTAACTTTGTTACTTATAAATGGATTGACTACATATTAAGACACACTGATCTTGAGCTTTATACTTGGACAAAATAAGACTTGCTACCAAACAAGCTTATTGAAGATTTTTAGATGTGACCTTAACCTTTAATTGATCTTGACCATCAAGTACAAATTAATGAAATTCTATTGTTTTTTCCTGTCATTGGCTATAACTTATTTTTAGATGGATTAACTTCATATTTAAACTTTTGATTTTAGGTTAGGACCTTAATGAATATCAAACTCAAATGACCTTGGCTAATGTTTTACATTGACCTTGAAGGTCAAATTATTGAATTTTCTTTGATAATTGCTATAATTGGCTGTAACTTGGTAATTAATTAATGGATTATCTTCATACTTGGGACATAACAACCTTTTGGTCAAGGCCTTCTATGTGGTGGAACTGACTTTGACCTTGAGCCTTAAATGACCTTGACCATTAAGGTCAAATTATATCATTTTGGTTAAGTTGTCATAATTTTGTTATTTATGAACAGAAGTTTGTCATTTATTCATGGAAATGATTCATACTTGGACTAAACAACATGTGTGACTAGACAAACCAAATAAAAACCAAAACAAGGAAGAAGTTAATTTTTATTTTCATTAATTTGCTTTTAGAGATTTGTCTACATTGTATATTTGTTTGCTTTTTGCAAAAGTAAAAACAGTCGAGCGCTTTCCCTGCCTGAATGTGGTTCTTGTTAGTTTGTTGCTATAAACATCTTTTTTTTTTTTTTTAATTTTCCTGTATTCAGATAAAAATTTCAATGAATATCAAACATATCATTGCTCTTGTTATCCCCAGCCAATGGAATTGGCAGGGGGATAATGTTTTGGTGTTGTCCATCCATCCGTGCTTCCTTCTGTCCATCCGTCTGTCTGAATTTCTTTTCCGGTAGTTCTCAGCAACTATTGGCTGGAATTTAATGAAACTTTATGGGAACCTTCAATACCAACAGGAGATGCTCATATCATTGGCTTGTTCCAGTCAGACCTTTTAACTCAGAGTTATGGCCCTTAATTAATTAAGCATTATGCATATAGAGCAAAAATTGTTTTCGCTTTTCACGCTACTTCTCTGCAACTACTGGCTGGAATTCAACGAAACTTTATGGGAAACTTTAATACCAAAAGGAGATGGGCATATCATCCGCTTGTTCCGGTCATACACTTTAACTCAGAGTTATGGCCCTTGGTTAGTAATGCAGTATACATAGAGAGCAATAATTGTTTATGCACTACTTCTCTGCAACTACTGGGTGGAAATCAACCAAACTTTATGGGAACTTTCAATACAAAGAGGAAATGTGTTTATCGTTGCCTTGTTGACACTTTAACTCAGAGTTATGGTCCTTGATTAATTATGCAGTACTTATGCCTACAGAGCAATAATTGTTTTCGCGCTACTTCTTTGCAACTAGTGGCTGGAATTCAACAAAACTTTATGGAAACCTTTAATACCAAGAGGAGATGCTCATATCGTCGCCTTGTTCCGGTCAGACACTTTAATTCAGAGTTATGGCCCTTCTCTGCAACTACTGGCTGGAATTTAATGAAGCTTTATGGGAACGTTCGTTATCAAGATGGGAATCATCAATATCTAGAGGAGATGCACATATCATCGTCTTGTTCCAGTCAGACCCTTTAACTCAAGAGTTATGGCCCTTGATAAGTGTCCGGTCAGACACTTTACCTCAGAGTTATGGCCTTTGATTAATTATGCAGTATGCATATAGAGTAATAATCGTTTCCGGGCTACTTCTCTGCAACTACTGGCTGGAATTCAACAAAACTTTATTGGAACCTTCAATATCAAGATGGGAATCATCAATATCAAGAGGAGATGCCATTTCATCGGCTTGTTCCGGTCAGACTCTTTAACTCAAGAGTTATGGCCCTTGATTAGTATGCATATAGAGCAATAATCATTTCTGCACTTCTTCTTTGCAACTACTGGCTGGAATTCTATTAAACTTTATGGGAACCATTAATACCAAGATGAGCTGTGCATAATGTGTTACTTTATTCAGATCAGGCCCTTCATTACAGAGTTATGGCCCTTGATTAGTTACTAAGTATGTAGTATGCATATAGAGCAATATTGCTATTTCTTTGCAACTGCTGTATTGATTTCAACAAAACTTTATGGGAACCATAGATACAAAAAGGCAATTTACATCTCATTGCCATGTCCAGATACAACTATTTAACACCGAGTTAAGGCTCTGTTATTGCCCTGAATATTTATTATGTACAAAGAATATTACTGTTTACGCGATGATAAAAATGTAAATAAAGCCTTATGTCTTCAGTTGTTGTGTTAGTAATAACCAGTACTCGGCAGGGGATATAAATTCAACGAATTTGCTTGTTAGCTTATGACATTTTTGAGACTGAGTTAAGTGTCTAATGGAAAGGTAGAATTTTGCATGACTGTTGGATAATATACAGATGTACCCAGGCCTTTTCCTAGCCATTTTATGAAAAAGTTCATTGCCCAGTTTGCAAAATTTTACGTTGTAAATTGCTTGATTGGGAAAAATATTAGGTACTTTTTGTAACCTCCTTCATGCTCTTTTAGCATAGTATTTTGAAATATGCAAAATTGTTATTCCAACCAGCACAAATATCATTCAAAGCTTAAAAGATACATTAAAATTTGACAATGAAATGTGCATCTGTCTGATACCGTACTGGAATGAACTCAGCAAATTTGTCAGTTTTGATATTGAGAATTTCAGTTCAATTGGGAATTTCTTTTAAAGATATGGAAAAAATCTTTAAACTTGATATGTGGATGAACCTTGATAAGTTCTATGTGTCACACTCATTTTAAGGTCATTAGAGAAAAAGTTTCTGCAGAAATCTTTTTAACTACTAGTAATATGTTTACATGTATGAGGTTCTGATACAAGACCTTCCAATTTATTCATAGTATGATGCAGATCTTTATAGCAAAATGTTTTAAGAGGGTTACTTAGTGACACACACAAATATGTCTTTTTCAGTTTTGACATTGGCTTTTTTGGTTTGTGAAAGAAAATGGATGCGGATTTCTTTAGAAAGTTACCAAAAGTGGTATGCTAAATGTTTTATTTTATTTATTTCTCTAACTTTTATTGAGTTTTTTAGGTACATATGAAATAAATGTCATCCTTTTTAAAGTGAATGGGTTTAAAGTACATGTAGTATGTTTTCACTGTGTTTTTCATGTAAATGCAAACCAATGAAAGTATATATAGTTTTGATATTCTTATGAAGGATTCCTAGAGTAAACTACATGACAATTGTGTGCTGTTAAACATTATATCAAAATTAATTACATAAATCAAAATATTTTGTTCCTGGTCACTTTAAGCAACTATAATAGAATAGTTAGGGTGTCTGTGGCTGAGTGGTTGACTTTAAACCACTTGCCCCTCACCACTGTGGGTTAGAATCCCTGGCAACAGGGACTTTTGATTCTTTCATGTGAAGAAGCTATCCAGCTAGCTTATTGCTTAAGGAATGTCATGGTTCTACTCAGGTGCCTATTTGTGGATGAAATAAGGCACGAAAGAGCACCTGAGGTCTTCCTTCACCAGTGAAGAGGGAAAGTTGCCATATGACCTATACTGTGTTTGTGCAATGTAAAACCCAACAAAAGTAAAAATAGATGGTAGTCAAGCACATTTATTTCCTGCGTTTATTCCTACAATATTTTACAGGAGCTTCATGCCCATATAAATGGTTCAATTAGTGTATCAACAATGAGTCAGCTTGTGGCAGGCATGTCTACATCATATAATCCAGACTCCCTCAAGTTCAAAAAGGGTGAAACTGGAACATTGAAAGAGTAAGTATAAAACTCATGATGTTATTAAATAAATTATACAAATTAATAAAAAATTTAAAATGAAAATTTATTATGAGTAAACAATTCTCTTTTTTGTCACATAAATGACTAAGAATAAGATGGGTGTTTGCACTAGGACATTGGCAGTTCTAATTATCACTAGTTTTTATTATCATTCATTCCATTTATTTTGTTAATTCAAATTCAAAGTGATGTATTTATGATAGCTTTATCTTATTTTTCAGAGTGTTCAAGTTATTCAGACAGATTCATGATGTTATAAATAACGAGAAAGCTGTTTATAAGGTAAACCTTCTTAAAATGTAACTGGCAGTGATAATAACAAGCAAGCTTAATTAAAAAAATGTAGGAGACTGCACTCACTTCATTTTATATCACTGATAGTTATTAAACACTTTCACAGCAGAAAGCCTTTGAAATTCCACCAGGTTATGTTCACTGTATCATTTTGCATAGTTTTCTATATGTCTTGTCCTTAATTGAATAGATGTTATCTGGAAATCAGCAAATGTGGGTTTTCCCCAGCTAATCCATAGGTGCAAACAGATTTTTACCATCAAAGCTTCATGGTGCATTACCTGTTAAAATAGGTTAGTCAATATGTTGCGCTTATTTTCGAGGCTGTAATTGTAAAAATTTGTTCCTAGCTGGGAAAAACCCAAATATTCTTAACTCCGGAGTAATTCTTTTAAATTACTATCTGATATGTTTCAGGTAACATATGATGTGATACATGAGTTTGCAGAGGAGAATGTGAAATATATAGAGTTACGAACAACACCTAGAGAAGAACCGTCAACAGGAATGACAACAATTTCATATGTTGAGACTGTTTTACGTGCAATAGATGACTGTGCAAAGGAAAATTTAGACATTATTGTAAAATTACTACTGGCTGTTGACAGAAGACAGAGTCTACAGGTTGCCATGGATACTGTACAACTTGCAGTGAAATATAGGTATACTTTTATATCAGAATAAAAATGCCCAAAGAATGTACAGCATTATGAGCAATGCAATAAACAAAACAATCCCATATTTTTATATGCCCAAAAGAATTTCAAGCATATTATGTTATACCCCTTGGCGTCCCTCCGCACTACCTAATAGGGATAGGGGGCCATCTAACTGAAGAGAACAATAGAGTTCATTCCGTAACAATAGAGTAAGTAAGTAAGTAAAGTCTTTATTTACTGAGGCTACACATTTGGTTACCCAATCTTCCATGTGGGCCTCAAAAACATAAATATACATAAAATAAACATAATTTATAGGTTGCCAGATACACTGACCTTCTGTGATCTATTTTCAAGATATGATGTAAACTAAGTAATTGCAGAAGAAGAAATGTGATAAAAATGAAGTTTTTTGGATGAGTAGCTTATGAGTAGTCTGAGACTTGGAGAACAATGGGTAACAGTAAATTCTTTTTTATCCTATTCAATCTGTTTTTACTAGGGCTGGATCAGAAATTTTCGATACGATAAGTATTGCGATACAGTACAATAATGCTTATTTTTTAGGATGTATGTGAAATATTATTGATTTTTTCTTACATCTGAAGAGAATGACTTTATTAATGATGTGATATAATATATAGCATGTGCATAGGAACCTTAATTACTACATTTGTGATACTCTTAGATAAAATAATTATTTGAAAAAAAATATTTAAAAAATTGAACAAATAATTCAAGGCAAAAATATATGTAAATACTAGGGATGGCAATGAATACAAAAATCAATACTCAAATACTCAGTCAATTTTTCGATCAAGTACTCGGTTACTCGGATGATTTCCAATGATCTTTTAAGTTTTATCACACAATGTCAACACCGTCTGCATTCTACTTTCGTTTTCTATTTTTATTCATAGAATTCGTAACTATAAATAGGACTGCAAGAAAGGTAACATAGAATAACCAATAACAAACTGATAAAAATTAAATCAACAACATTATATTTTACAACATAATGATAATTGCAATATCAAGTTTAAAACAAGTATAGCAGTTCATAATTGAAATAATATAGACTGATCGGCGGCAATTGATATAGTTAGCAAATACATCTTATAAATATAAACATAAGAAATGTCAATGATGGCATATATTTATGTTTTTATAATTAACAAGTTTCGACTACAAACTGTCACACAATTAAAGGTGATTTAATATCATAAGAGGCCGAATGACGTAAGCGACACAGGACTGTGTTCAATCCCATACGCGTGTCTAACTGTTGATCTCTATCATTTTCACACCTCTGCAAGGATGTTTTGATTGCATTTAACAAGTATTTATGAAGATATGTCTACATCTCCGAATTCTTGAACTAATTGGATACACCAATCTTTCTAAATCGCAAAAAAAGTAGAAATTAAATATTTTTTCCGGCTGATCGAATATCAATTTTGTTAACCGATATTTGGACGTTTGATCGAGTACTCAGTTAACCAGTTACTCTTTGCCATCCCTAGTAAATACACAAGTTAAAGCAGAAAACAATCAAAATATCTCTATTTATTATGGCAGGTGTCTACAAGTCAACTGTTCTAAATTCTTAGATTTTTAAAATATAATCATTTTTTGTAAAATTTGAAATATATATGCTGAGATAGTAATGGAACATTTGAAATTCTTTAACAAATCAAGTTTTTGTCTATCAAAAGTGGTATAATAATGACCAAAAAGAATAAAAAAATGATGTAATGATGTTGTGGACTTCATTTGGTGTCGTAATTTCCAAGAGCTAAATATGTAATGTACCGGAAAACGGTGTTTAGCTAGGTCTTTGCACTGTCGCATTTATTTAGCTACCTACATCTTGGAAAATCAATAAATTTGTAGAATTTATGTATTAACAATATGTGTTTGATTAAATTACAAGTAACTGTTTGGTCTAATAAAAACTACCGCCGACCTGAAGGTATATTTTTACCAATGTGTTAGAAATAGGAGATTAAATGGCTGGATTAATTGTTATGTATTGACAATTGTTGTTCCACCTGAACTAGCCACTTAGCCTTGCAAATATTTCAGAGTGCCTTCTTATCATTAACTTTAAGAGAAAATTCCCCAGTTTTAACTTTCGAGCTGACATATTAAATACAATAGTTTTAATGATCATGTTTATAAGTTACACACTTATTAGGTTGTCTCCCTTTGTATCGGTATAGCTAAAACCCGATAACCATACCATATTGAAAAACAGAAAATCGATAAATACCGATTTACCGGTATATTGATCCAGTCCTAGGTTTTACTTGTGTGTCTTTTTTTAGCCTTGTGTGGCTAAAAAGGAAAAGCATTCGTAAGGACTTCTGTCCGTTAGGAATTTGGTTTCCGGAGCATAACTTAAGTTCCATTTGGTCCACAATATTCAAACTTTATAGGATGATTGTCCATATTGGGTAGAAGACCCCTATTGATTTTGGGGTCACAAGGTCAAAGGTCAAGGTCACTATAACCTTAAAATTGAAAACAATTTCTGCTCAATAACTTAAGTATTAATCAATTTACAGCTGTAAAATTTTATAGGGTGAACAGCCATGTTCAATACATGACCCCTATTGATTTTAGGGTCATAAGGTCAGAGGTCAGGATCACAATGATCTTAATATTCTGGAGCATAACTAAGTTCCATTTGGCCCACAGTGTTCAAACTTCATAGGATGATTGTTCATATTGGGTGGAAGACCCCTATTGATTTTGGGGTCACAAGGTCAAGGTCACTATTATTTAGAAATTGAAAACAGTTTCCGGAACATAACTTAAGTTCTATTTGGCCCACAGTGTTCAAACTTCATAGTATGATTGTCTATATTGGGTAGAAGACCCCTATTTATTTGGGGTCACAATGTCAAAGGTCAAGGTCACTATTACTTTAAAACTGAAAACAGTTTCCGGAGCATAACTTAAGTTCCATTTGGCCCACAATATTCAAACTTCATAGGATTGTTATTTGAAGGAGGTTATACTTTATTTAATTCCCATATCTTACAAATGCTTAATCTTAACTAAAAAAAAACAACTCACTTTCGGGCATATAATGCTCCGCCTAGCGGTGCTCTTGTTAATAATTATCGTTTATTTACATACACTTTTGGTCAAATGAATATCAACATGATCACAATATTACCTCCGTTTAATGAATATATTGAGTTCACTGTTTTTAAGGGTTGAGGGATCAGAATTGCAGCTACTATTTATCCCTGCATGATAGTAAGAGCCACTAAATGGGTTCGAATTACTGGAGTCTATGCATCTCTTAGCTCCAGTAAGCGAGATGGTTTTGGCTTTAAAGTTTGTAACACCAGAAGTTAGCCAAAATGATCTTTCCTGTTCTGGTGCATTGTGACCAAAATAGTGTTGGTGTGCCATAAAACCAAACAAGATAAACAAAGACCACATGTCAAGCATTTCAACAATAATTATAGATTCATTATTTATACTAAAGCTTATCAGTTTAATGATTTATTGTTTTGATATGCTGATAAAACTACACAATATCAAATGTTAGTAAATTTCAAATTAACTTTAAATATAAGCAAAACAAACAGCCCACATTCTTACAAATGAATGTAGAGCTATTTCATATTGTTTAATCAAAACTTATATAAATATTGCTTTATGTAAGTGTTAACTTCGTTTTGTTATAGGATAGTAATAGACACCTTTTTAAATTATAAAGCTTTATTACATTTGAATTGAGTTGAAGCAGACCTGCCATTATTCATTTTTTTAATAGTATGTTATCAGTGTTCTAAATCATTTTATACTTTGTTAATAATGAACCAACTTTATTCATTCTATGTGTTGCACTTTTTGTCATGTAATAGGCTAGAGGCCTGAAGCATTTTGAAGTGTAAGTTTCAAGAAGTGGAAGAAATAGAATAGTTTATTCCAGTGATAAATCATACACTTTAATGTTATCAGCATATTGACTCACATACAATCTGTTATTATTCTGGCAGTATGCCACACCCACTGGTCCTTTTATTCCTTGTTCTTTATCCAGTAGAATCTTCACCTTGGTCAGGTCAGGTGATAATTGATGTATATTGTGTGACCAATATCCACATACAAACACTGCTCCAGACCTATCTACAGTCAGTTGACATGGCCCCTTCAACTGGTCATCCTTGTAAATGGCCTTGACTTTCCCATCAAAGGTTAAACCCATCACACAGTTCTTCTCAAAGTCAGATACATATATAACTGTGTTGTCTGCACTGATTGTTAAGAAATGAGGATCACCAAACAGATATTTCCCATGATGATCTTTATCATATGTTTTCATTACTTTACCAGACATGTCAATTATCTTCACTGTTGCTTTACTGTCTGTGAATGATACTATAAGCTTGTTGTTACTGTAGGCAACACCATTACAACCTTCTCCTACTTTTATATCTTCAATGCTGGTCACTGTCATAGACTTAGAGAATGTTATCAGTTTTAATATTCCAGGACCAGGAAATGTTACAGCAGCTTTATTATTGTCAACTTTAGCAACAGCCCAAGGTTCTGGTGGCAGGTCTATTGTATCATATGATGTAGTGCTGACTGACAAATCCTTGAATATAATTAGTTTTGAATAATTTTTGTCACTAATAAGAAGACAGTTTTCTGATAACAAGCATAGAGATGACCAGGAGTCAAATGTGCATTTAATATCTGTGTAATAACTTGCAGTTCTTTTTACTTCTGACTCGTGTATTTCTTGATAGGTGAAAAAATTGTCACAGTCTTGTAAATTGGTAATATTTTGTTCAGAAGCTTTGCATTCAACTTTGTAATAATGAATTGAATTGTTCTTACATTGTTTATCTGCATCTGGTTTCAATTGTTCAATGATTTCTTGCCCCTTCTTCATAGCAACAAACAGTTGACATCTTTGATCTGTACCTTGATGATGAGCCAGCTCTGTTGATATTGTGTTCAATTTTGTTTTCATTTTTGAGGTTTCTTCAATGATTGCCTGCAAAACCTTCTCGTCTTCCTTTTTTATGATTTCAATTTTCTTCTTTATTTCATTCTCCTGATCATTTAACAACTTTTCTAATTTCCTTTGATTTTCTTGTAATTTGTTAATTTTCTCTTTTTTCTCTTCTTCAAGTCTTTGTAAGGTTTCTTTTATTTTTTTCTCAAAGTTTTGAATTATATCTGTCTGATGTTTTTCAAACACTGACAATATTTCTTTCTTTTTTTTCATGACCGTATCTAATATCTTTGTTTCTTGTGAAGCAACATATTTCATGTTTATGTTCACATGTTTTTCTGTATGTTCCAAATCTTTCATTAACTCATCAAGATTTTCATTAAGTTCTTTGATTTCTTGGCTGTTTTCAATCCCTGGAACAAGAGCTGGCAAATGGCTGATCACACTACAGTTCCCATGGCCTTGTATCTTGCATTCAGTACAGGCAAATTTCTTACAAGCTTGACAATAGAACTTGACTAATTCATCTTGATGAAAGAACATTTCTTCAGACAGATATCCTGTGGCATGTTATCCTTATCCTTGATAGTATGGGAGACCAATAATCTTTTATGGAATTTCAGACATATAGCACACAAGTACTCTAAACATTCCTCACAAAATCCTTCAGCAGGAACATATTGCTTGTCATGTTTATCACAATGTTCACAAAACATTTCCTGAACTTCATCAGAGTCCTGTGTAACTGAACCACTGAAGTCTATCCTGGAATATGCCATGATTTTTTTTTAATTTAAAACATGAAATAAATATGCAATACTGTCTTATCAAAAAGTTGTGTTTAAAATGGTTTAAATTAGGAAGTATAAATCTATACATTGAGAGGTTTATTATTCTTGTTTAAAATGCGTGTAGAGTGTACTGGTATCTATACACCTTTTCATGATATTGACAATAGATTTATAAATAGCAGTTATTACTTGTTACCATAAACTACTACTAGGGCATGGGATTATAAATGCGTGTCAAAATATGAAACAACTGATTTAACTTTGCAACATGTTTTAATTTGTTTCGACCCATTTTCATGCAAAATAAAGATATATAAAACATGTAATTGTCATGTTTTTGTAATATTTTCAAATTTTCCCATGTTTAACCTTTGACTTTTACCCTGTTTTCATTATAAACAATTTTATAGTTTGCAACTTTGCAATCGCTAAACTTTAATAATGTCTCCCCCACCTCGGGGGGAGACATATTGTTTTTGCCCTGTCCGTCCGTCAGTCCGTCCGTCCGTCAGTCCGTCAGTCCGTCCGTCCGTCCATTCTTCGTTTCCGGACGATAACTAGAGTTCCTTTTGACCTACAGCTCTCAAACTTCATAGGATGAATGGTCTTATAGAGCAGATGATCCCTATTGTTTTTGGGGTCAGTAGGTCAAAGGTCAAGGTCACAGTGACCGTTGGTCAATTTCTCATTTCCGGATGATAACTAGAGTTCCTTTTGACCTACAACCCTCAAACTTCATAGGATGATTAGTCTTATTAATCAAATGATCCCTATTGTTTTAATGGTCAGTAGGTCAGTGTCGAGATTATAATAATAATCATCTGAATACATTGGACACTAATCAGTCAACTGTTAAAGGTGGTGTAGCCCTCTTCATTCATCAAGACTTTGCTTATGAACGAATACCCATGGATGCATGTGGAATCGAGTGTGTTGCTGTAAAACTTTTAGCTAAACAACTGTCTGTCTACTCTGTATATAAACCTCCGTCATTGCCGATTAACTTGTTCCTTCAAAAGCTTACCCTTGTCTTGGAAAATTCACCAACAGAAAACTGCATAGTTCTAGGAGACTTCAACATTGACCTCATTCAATATTTAGAACATCCATTGACCCACACTATGTTACGACATCGCTTTAAACAAATAATAAACAAGGCTACTACAGCACACAACACACTTATTGACCATATCTACCAGAGAGGCTTGATTGTGAAAACGAGTGGAGTCATCCCAACACACTACAGTTATCATGATTTGACATACATTGAAATTTGAGTTGTCTTTCAATAGTGTAAAAAAATCTGACAATATGAACGTTTGTTTCAAGTATCATCAAAATCCTTCAAAGGGTTGAAGAGTTATGGAGCAGACACAATTTCCTTTAATTTCGTTTGTGAAACTATATATGATATGACATTCAAGTGTCAAGTAGACCTTGACCTTGGAACCAGCCATACGAAACATGTACTCTACACGTTCTCTGGATGTGGTGAATTTTTGTTTCAAGTATCTACCAGAGAGGCTTCATTGTGAAAACGAGTGGAGTCATCCCAACACACTACAGTTATCATGATTTTACATACATTGTAATTTGAGTTGTCTTTCAATAGTGTAAAAAAATCTGACAATATGAACGTTTGTTTCAAGTATCATCAAAATCCTTTAAAGGTTTGAAGAATTATGGAGCAGACACAATTTCATTTAATTTCATTTGTGAAACTATATATGATATGACCATCAAGTGCAATTTCGTTTGACGCCCGCCTGCCATACGCTGATTGAATAACCAGGATTTTCAAAATTGAATACCTGGTTAAAAACAAACAGTTTAGGAAGCATCTTCTCATACAACCTTAACAATAGAAACCATCCATAGACAGCCTTCATTGAAGTGACTACCGGGTATTTACATTATCTTATCTCCATTTCCATTCCTGTTTCCATTCACAGTTATTCTCAGCAGTGGGGGAGACATGCGCTTTTTTACAAAAGCATCCTCTAGTTTACATCGGTTTTAATATAAAAGGTAGCATAATAAAAACACAGTATTGTCTGAATAATTTTTAGCCCAACTTTTCTTTATAAAAAAAGTAGAGGTATTGTAATAGTCCCTGTGGCGTTGCTGTTGCCAATGCCGTTGCCACCCGCAAACTTGTACCTTGTTCATAACTTTTTTAGTTCTTGGTGTATTGTCTTCATACTTGGCCACAACAACCCTTTTGGACAAGACCTTTCAGTAGACCACACTAACCTTGACCTTCATCCATAAATGACCTTGACCTTCAAGGTTAAAAGTCCAAATTTTGCTTGTTCTTGCTATTATTGGCTGTAACTTTGTTATTTTTGAATGGATTGTCTTCAAACTTGAACATAATAATCTTCAAGGATATCCCTTAAAAATAACCAAACAGACCTTGATCTTCACTCATAAATGACTTTGACTTTGAAGGTCAAATTATTGAATCTTTCATTTTTATGGCTATTATTGGCTATATTATTATTATATATATATATATATAGATATTTATCATCATCATCATCATCAACAACAACTTCAACAACAACATTATAGAATTGTGTGTTTCTATTTATAGAATTGCGTGTTTCTATTTATAGTATTGTGTGTTTCTATTTTTAGAATTGCGTGTGTAGATGTTTTCGGTTAAATATATAGTCAAGAATGCGCAGATTAGATTTCAACACTTTTCTTTATTCATCATGGAATAATATCAATGTGATACAACAATGCAATTCTCTGAAAAAACTCGAAAATCTTCTTCATTCTTAATCATGGAAAGAAAACAAAAAGCACTGAGTTTAGAAAAAAATATGATATTTGACGAGAAATTGAGTATTGGAGTAAAACTAAAACTGAAATAGCAAAGGATTTTCAAATTCCAAAAAGTACACTCCGGGGTATTGTGTCTAAAATATAATTAAATGACTAATTTTTCTTAATCAAATGCTCTTCAAAATTGAGGACGATGGTAAACAATTAGTTATTTATATCTTAATCTGTTCGCTGTAAAAACTTCTGATACAAGGAACTAATTCGCTATATGCTTACAAAAAACTCTGGTTATAAGGAACAAATTTTTGAATGTCCCGATGAGTTTGTTATAAGTGGAGTTTACTGTATGTATATAGTCCCGATGAGTTTGTTATAAGCGGAGTTTACTGTATGTATATAGTAAAAACTTAAAAAAATCTTCTTGTGAAAATATAAAAGAGGTAGAGCTTAGATTTTTGGCATCAAACAACTTTTAATATATAATTATATTATATATTTATAAATATAAAGTAAAAACTAAACAAAATATCTTTGTTTGTTCAAATAAAAGCCCTAGGGTCAAATTTGACCCTGCCCCAGGGATCATTGATATTCCTTATGTATATATAGTAAAAACTTAAAAATCTTCTTGTGAAAATTCTTAAGACATAAAGCTCAGATATTTGGCATTCAACAAACAGTGTATGTCTACCATGTTTGTTGAAATAAAACCCCTAGGGTGAAAATTGGCCCTACCCCAGGGGATCAAGATCAACACTTCAATCCCCAGCCAGGTCAATGTTTGATTTCCCTCTCTATTTATTAGCTCACCTCTCACTTAGTGACAGGCTGAACTGTTTAATAAAATGGCTGCCAGAGTTAAAATTTGAAAACAACAACATCTAAACAACATCTTAACCTCTGGTTTAGTTTTGAACAAAAATTTCCTTGGTGATAGTGTACAAATTTTTTTCAGATTTAGCAGTCCCTTGTTTTCAAATTTTGCAAATTTTCAAATTTGACCTTTTGACCTATTTCTCAGGTGAGCAATCCAGGGCCCTCTGGGCCCTCTTGCTTGGTTTAACATGGCACCCATACAGCATAAGTCATGTGGCGACTTACAGCTTAACTGGTATTTTATAGGATCAAATAGGCACCTGTGTACCACCACCGATGTTCAGCATGCTAGCTGAATAGCTAAGTGTAAAGTAAAAACATTAAAAACAGGTTATTGGGGGTATATTGTAATTTGAATTTATTTGGTTCAAAATGAAAGTTAATAAATAGCTTTTCTTTTTAAGAATTATTAAATATAATGGAACAAATCATTGCTTGAAAAAAATATGTGCTATACAGGCATAATCACTGATCATGATAATAGGCTAAATAAATATTTTTATTTTCCCAACACATATATTATCCATCTGATACTATTATAGAAAACAAAAATTGAAAATAAATAGATGTAAAGTATGAAATGGCTATCTTTGTATTGGCTGCGAAACAGGGCATTCCTCTTTTCTTAACATGATGGGTTTTACCATAGGCCACACGATTCACAAAAATCACATTGAATATACAAATATCCACTAAGTCCCTTTTTAGCTCGACTTTTCTATGAAAAGGGGAGCTATCCTACTCGCCCCGGCGTCGGCGTCGGCGTTGGCGTCGGCGTTGGCGTCACACCTTGGTTAAGTTTTTCGTACCACCCCACTTTATTTCAGAAGTATTACAAGTATGGCTTTGAAACTTACCATACTTGTTCACCATCATAACCTCCATCTACAGACAAGAGTACATAACTCTGTCAAGGTTTTTGACAGAATTATGGCCCTTTTTAGCTCGACTTTTCTATGAAAAGGGGAGCTATCCTACTCGCCCCGGCGTCGGCGTCGGCGTCGGCGTCACACCTTGGTTAAGTTTTTCGTACCACCCCACTTTATTTCAGAAGTATTACAAGTATGGCTTTGAAACTTACCATACTTGTTCACCATCATAACCTCCATCTACAGACAAGAGTACATAACTCTGTCAAGGTTTTTGACAGAATTATGGCCCTTTTTTGACTTAGAAAGTGTATTGAGCTTGGTTAAGTTTTTTGTACCACCTCACTTTATTTCAAAACCATTGGAGGTATTGCTTTGAAACTGACCATACTTGTTTACCATCACGACCTTCATCAACAGACAAGAGGACATAACTCTGTCAAGGTTTTTGACAGAATTATGCCCCTTTTTGACTTAGAAAATACATTGAATATGGGTAAAATCCACTTATTGCCTTAACCCTTTGAGATATTGCTTTGAAACTTTTAATGCTATTTCACATCATTACCCCCATCTGTACGCAAGAGAAGGTAACTCTGTCAAGGATTTGTTTTAAAAATTAAGGCCTTTTATCGACTTAGAATCTTGGTTAAGTTTTTAGTACCAGTCCACTTTTTGACTGAACTGTTTGAGATATTAATTTTTTAGTTTTTAGTACCAGCCCTCTTTTGACTTAAACATTTCAAACTTTGCTGCAGTGTTCAAGGGTATCACACAATTCAGTAAAATAATTCTTCACTAA